ATCAAAAAGTTAATCAAAGTTGTCCTAAGACAAGAACGCATTTTGGTTTTAGGTTTATAGGACAACTTTGATTAAAGGTCTTGAGCCACATTTCAAATGTTGACTACTGTATGTACAGTATACACTATTTTTTTTAATGTTTCATGTAAAATTATAAAAGGTTTTCCTACCAGCTTTATAAATGAAACAGTTTGCATATTCTCTGGAAACCAGAAACTGTCTTGCCAAAGCATTAAAAGAGTAATTTTTTTTTTTTTAAATATGTGTGTAAATATGTGCATGTCTATATACTGTCTATATTTTTGTGGGTATGTGTGTATATACACAGGTATAAGTGTATATCATATCTATCTATTGACATTTTGTAAGATTCATCCTTGTACAGCTGTGCTATTCTGAATAAATTCAAACTTTTACAACTGAACCACACACACACACATACAAAAACACTAATAATTTGAGAACCTTTTATTTGAAATGTCAGTGTTCAGGAAAAGAAAACAAAAAACAGCAATATAAATATTAGCATACAAAATGTGAGTAGCACATAGGAGCCAGGAATCAAAGCGTCTTATCGGAGATGTTACAGCAAGATTACAGCATCAGCAGACACACACACACAGATAATAGATCTATTCAGATTCTTCATATAGACATTAAGAAGCATTCTCACATGTAAGCATGACAGAGCGCACAAGATTAATAATAGAGGATTTTAGATCTATTTGCCCTCTATTTTGTGTCTTCATGGAAAAGTGTGACAGGAAAAGAGGATGATTAACACAAAAATATATGCATAACTTCACAACTTCTAGGCTAAGAGTGTGTCACTATTTATTTTCATAGGTAAAAGTTAAACTCTTTATTTACAGGTGCGTTAGTCGGCCTTCATAGTACTAAAGAACTACATTGGTAACAGAGTGTCAAAAGTGTTTATTTTCTTCTTTTTCTCCATTTTTATATTTTTTCCCTGTAAAATAAAAGGACATTCCAGTAGTAAGCCATTCCTCTTGAGCTGATTATCTGAAAAGGTTTCATGTGTTTTTAAGGACAAATTTCTATTTACAAAGTAACATCATGCCAATGGTACGAGAACTGCTGTATTCAGAAGCAAAGTGAACCGGTACCAGCATTTGGACAGAATCTTTGCATTACAAGTATTTTCCAAAACCAGCTTTCCAAAGTTCTAATAACTAACTCATTAACGACAGTTAGCGTGCTTGTTGTACATTCAATGATTGCAAGTTGTCTCCTAAAACAGCATCAATCCTAACTGGTATTGAATTTTAACTGTATTCATATTCCATTGAGCTTGTTGCACATGGTCAAAAGAAAGAACAGCCTTAGCATTAGGAAACTGCTGCCTAGATCAGCAACTCACAAAGTCAGGAGGTTTTGTCACCATCAAAACTACAGATACTCACTTAAAGTAACCCATCTAATTACAACCAGCACTGATAAAGAGCTTCAACACTTCAGGATAACCTGGAAATACTGAATACTAAGGGCGATATGCCACTGCGGGCACTTGTGAACTTGTAACTGGTTTCACAATGCCCCCATTATGGCTTGGCCATCACTAATGCTCCATAAACATTCAGTTAACACAAAAAATCAACAACAACCAAACTCTGGCTCAGTGATACACAGGGGGATCCATTCTTGAAAAGCAAATTCAAATCATCATAAAAGCGGATGGTTTAACTGCCCAACTCCTCCTCCGTGAGAAAGTTGTAGATGGGTGTTCATAGATGTCAGGTGATATGGAGATTATCTATAGCGCAAAAAAACAGCATGCAGCAATAAACACCTGACTTGCATCTACGTCAACACTTCTCCTAAAATGATCAATAAAACAAGTCCATAGTGGTATTTTAGCAAACAATAACAAAAAAGTAAAGTAATAATCATGATGCATTTTACAAGCATTACAACATCCACAGCAACACTGTGTCTTTGTATAAACAAGAACGTGAATATTACAAGAATACAATTCCTCTTTTTGTCCAGATGTCAGTTTAACATGTTCACGGTAAAGTACTGTTGTAAATACATTACTGGCTTGATATACGCAGGAGTATAGTGTCACTTAGAAGTTGCATAAACTTTGCAAACGTGAGAATGAAAAACTAAATTCTCTCCAAAATGTCCAAATTAATCAGGAAACAAATTTACAGTACTTAGGCTTAAGTAAAACAAATACATGTGTGAAATAGACAAAGTGGTTAGAAGTGGGTTTACATTGACACACTTTTTTTTACCCTAATATTTTTCCTCTAAATAGTTGCAGATTTCCAGCAAACCTCAGAACAGCACAGAAATGGAGTCGCCTCCCTAAACCTCATATCTACCTATGGCTCTCTACTTCTTCTCCTTCTTGGTAGATTTCTTCTTGCTGGCGGGCGTCTGGGCAGCGTTGGGCGGCTCAGGTTGGGCAGCAGCAGCAGCTATGGCGGCCTGTGGAGGTGGCAGGGCCTGTTGGGGTTGCTGCTGGTTGGAGGTCAGGGTGGCGGTGCTGCCAGGGATGTAGACGTTCTGCCGGTAATCAGGGACGTGCTGCAGGGTGAACTGAGGGTTGTAGCGGGTGCTCAGACCCATGGTGCCCGGAGCCAGAGTGTTGGTCGCCTCGCTGACCTCTGCAGAGAGAAGAGCGTTTTCTGTTAGGTGATTTGGGGAGGATTTCACACAGCTCCTGAACTCTTTTTGAAATAATTTGTTTAAATATGTTATGGTAAGAGGTAATAAAACAGTCACCAAAAAAGTGCCGCTTTGCATGAAAGCTTTTGCGAAATGAATAAACTATCACGGCAAAAAATTATTTTCATATTTTATCATACAAAATCAAGTAAAGATATCTAAACATTCTTAAATCAAGATAAATTTATTTGGGAAGCAAAATAAATTACAATATTAAGGTTTGTGTTCTGAAAAATGTATCAAAATGTGTTTATGCTTAAAATTAGGAATATTACCTGACAGTGGGTTCATAAAAAATAAACAATTTAAACACTGAAAAAAAAGAGGTTTTCTTTTTTGTCTTGTTTCCCAGTAAAAAATATAAAACATACTTAAATCAAGATATACATTTACATAATTGTTTTGGACTTAAAATGACAAGATATCAAGTCCCAGTAAATAAAAAAGGCTATGCAACAAAGCCAATTCTACAGGTTTTCAACCTAGAAAAAAGAACAATGACAAATTCAAACAAAGTGAGTGCTAATGGAAAACTGCTGAATGGCTGATCTCAGAACAGCACTGGACAGAACAGTGAAAACATGGACTCTCTCCAATGGGAACCAAATAACTCAATAACGCCTGTCTCAGTCTTTGCTGAAATATAAAATTATTCCACTTATTTCTCATGTGTCTGTGTGAATGTGGATCTGGTCAAAACAATCAGTTCTAATCTTTTACACAGTTCAAAAGTTTGGGGTCAGTAAGATTTTTTTTTTTTTACTTTTATTCAGCAAGAATGTATTAAATTGCTCAAAAGTGACAGAACAGACACTTATGATATTATAAAAAAATCTACATGATGTTCTTTTTCTGTTCTTTTGAACTTTCTTTTCATCAAAGAACCCTGAAAAAAAATCTATCACTGTTTTCATAAAAATATTAGGATATTAGGCACCACTTTATATATTAACTCTTTTTAAAATCAGAAATGTTTCTTAAGCAGCAAATCAGCATATTAGAATGATTTCTGAAGGATCGTGTGACACTGAAGACTGGAGTAATGATGCTGAAAATTCAGCTTTGAACACAGGAATTACATTTTAACATATATTCTCATAGAAAACAGTTAATTATATTGTAAAAATATTTCACAATATTACTGTTTTTTAATCAAATAAATACAGCATTGGTGAGCATTAATGACTAATGACAGTCAAAAAAACTAAACAAATTAAAAATTAATAATAAATAAAATAATAATAATATCTTACCAACCCCAAACATTTGTAGTGCATGTGTTTTACAGGCAAAATTATAATTTAGTGTTAGTCTGTAGTCATGATTAGCTTTATGTAACAGCATAATCCATCTAAATGATGAGAAAATACCACAGCAACTAAGTAAATGTGTGATGAGTCACTTTCTTTTTATTCCTGCTCAGTCGCAGCAGTATTGAAAATAAAGGGAAACATGAGAGAGCCTTACGTCATGTGTGTCAAAAGCTTTGATGTGCTTTGTATAGACACGGGCCACTGAACTCTGTGTGTGTGTGTGTGTGTGTGTTCCCACGTGGACATCTGTGACTGTGCATGTGCTCATTCTACATAATTGTCCATGATGCATGCAAGACAAACATATATGCAAAAATTCATCTGATTATGATGTAAATTATTAATCAGATAGCAATGCAATGAAGTCAACACTCTGTTCTGTATGTTTCTCATGTTTTCAACAATACATATGCACAGTGATGACACCATTAAAGAGCAAGTGAGAGATTCTCACCATTAGCAGCAGCCATCAGCACCTGGAGCTGCTCAGCCTCGGTTGGGGGGTTGGGCCAGGGCCCTGTTCCCATGGCAACCTCAGGAGTGGCGGCAGCTCTGCAGAGAGGAAAAGGAAATAGAGTCAGCAAAACAGAGGCCGTTCTGTACTGCTTCTATCAGCAACAGCTGCAGTGAGTGTGTGAGGTGCTTTGTGCCCTAATTTCTCACACACACACGCACACACACACACACACACACACACACACATTTGCCCTCTATTTTGTGTCTTCATGGAAAAGTGTGACAGGAAAAGAGGATGATTAACACAAAAATATATGCATAACTTCACAACTTCTAGGCTAAGAGTGTGTCACTATTTATTTTCATAGGTAAAAGTTAAACTCTTTATTTACAGGTGCGTTAGTCGGCCTTCATAGTACTAAAGAACTACATTGGTAACAGAGTGTCAAAAGTGTTTATTTTCTTCTTTTTCTCCATTTTTATATTTTTTCCCTGTAAAATAAAAGGACATTCCAGTAGTAAGCCATTCCTCTTGAGCTGATTATCTGAAAAGGTTTCATGTGTTTTTACCAGCATTTGGACAGAATCTTTGCATTACAAGTATTTTCCAAAACCAGCTTTCCAAAGTTCTAATAACTAACTCATTAACGACAGTTAGCGTGCTTGTTGTACATTCAATGATTGCAAGTTGTCTCCTAAAACAGCATCAATCCTAACTGGTATTGAATTTTAACTGTATTCATATTCCATTGAGCTTGTTGCACATGGTCAAAAGAAAGAACAGCCTTAGCATTAGGAAACTGCTGCCTAGATCAGCAACTCACAAAGTCAGGAGGTTTTGTCACCATCAAAACTACAGATACTCACTTAAAGTAACCCATCTAATTACAACCAGCACTGATAAAGAGCTTCAACACTTCAGGATAACCTGGAAATACTGAATACTAAGGGCGATATGCCACTGCGGGCACTTGTGAACTTGTAACTGGTTTCACAATGCCCCCATTATGGCTTGGCCATCACTAATGCTCCATAAACATTCAGTTAACACAAAAAATCAACAACAACCAAACTCTGGCTCAGTGATACACAGGGGGATCCATTCTTGAAAAGCAAATTCAAATCATCATAAAAGCGGATGGTTTAACTGCCCAACTCCTCCTCCGTGAGAAAGTTGTAGATGGGTGTTCATAGATGTCAGGTGATATGGAGATTATCTATAGCGCAAAAAAACAGCATGCAGCAATAAACACCTGACTTGCATCTACGTCAACACTTCTCCTAAAATGATCAATAAAACAAGTCCATAGTGGTATTTTAGCAAACAATAACAAAAAAGTAAAGTAATAATCATGATGCATTTTACAAGCATTACAACATCCACAGCAACACTGTGTCTTTGTATAAACAAGAACGTGAATATTACAAGAATACAATTCCTCTTTTTGTCCAGATGTCAGTTTAACATGTTCACGGTAAAGTACTGTTGTAAATACATTACTGGCTTGATATACGCAGGAGTATAGTGTCACTTAGAAGTTGCATAAACTTTGCAAACGTGAGAATGAAAAACTAAATTCTCTCCAAAATGTCCAAATTAATCAGGAAACAAATTTACAGTACTTAGGCTTAAGTAAAACAAATACATGTGTGAAATAGACAAAGTGGTTAGAAGTGGGTTTACATTGACACACTTTTTTTTACCCTAATATTTTTCCTCTAAATAGTTGCAGATTTCCAGCAAACCTCAGAACAGCACAGAAATGGAGTCGCCTCCCTAAACCTCATATCTACCTATGGCTCTCTACTTCTTCTCCTTCTTGGTAGATTTCTTCTTGCTGGCGGGCGTCTGGGCAGCGTTGGGCGGCTCAGGTTGGGCAGCAGCAGCAGCTATGGCGGCCTGTGGAGGTGGCAGGGCCTGTTGGGGTTGCTGCTGGTTGGAGGTCAGGGTGGCGGTGCTGCCAGGGATGTAGACGTTCTGCCGGTAATCAGGGACGTGCTGCAGGGTGAACTGAGGGTTGTAGCGGGTGCTCAGACCCATGGTGCCCGGAGCCAGAGTGTTGGTCGCCTCGCTGACCTCTGCAGAGAGAAGAGCGTTTTCTGTTAGGTGATTTGGGGAGGATTTCACACAGCTCCTGAACTCTTTTTGAAATAATTTGTTTAAATATGTTATGGTAAGAGGTAATAAAACAGTCACCAAAAAAGTGCCGCTTTGCATGAAAGCTTTTGCGAAATGAATAAACTATCACGGCAAAAAATTATTTTCATATTTTATCATACAAAATCAAGTAAAGATATCTAAACATTCTTAAATCAAGATAAATTTATTTGGGAAGCAAAATAAATTACAATATTAAGGTTTGTGTTCTGAAAAATGTATCAAAATGTGTTTATGCTTAAAATTAGGAATATTACCTGACAGTGGGTTCATAAAAAATAAACAATTTAAACACTGAAAAAAAAGAGGTTTTCTTTTTTGTCTTGTTTCCCAGTAAAAAATATAAAACATACTTAAATCAAGATATACATTTACATAATTGTTTTGGACTTAAAATGACAAGATATCAAGTCCCAGTAAATAAAAAAGGCTATGCAACAAAGCCAATTCTACAGGTTTTCAACCTAGAAAAAAGAACAATGACAAATTCAAACAAAGTGAGTGCTAATGGAAAACTGCTGAATGGCTGATCTCAGAACAGCACTGGACAGAACAGTGAAAACATGGACTCTCTCCAATGGGAACCAAATAACTCAATAACGCCTGTCTCAGTCTTTGCTGAAATATAAAATTATTCCACTTATTTCTCATGTGTCTGTGTGAATGTGGATCTGGTCAAAACAATCAGTTCTAATCTTTTACACAGTTCAAAAGTTTGGGGTCAGTAAGATTTTTTTTTTTTTACTTTTATTCAGCAAGAATGTATTAAATTGCTCAAAAGTGACAGAACAGACACTTATGATATTATAAAAAAATCTACATGATGTTCTTTTTCTGTTCTTTTGAACTTTCTTTTCATCAAAGAACCCTGAAAAAAAATCTATCACTGTTTTCATAAAAATATTAGGATATTAGGCACCACTTTATATATTAACTCTTTTTAAAATCAGAAATGTTTCTTAAGCAGCAAATCAGCATATTAGAATGATTTCTGAAGGATCGTGTGACACTGAAGACTGGAGTAATGATGCTGAAAATTCAGCTTTGAACACAGGAATTACATTTTAACATATATTCTCATAGAAAACAGTTAATTATATTGTAAAAATATTTCACAATATTACTGTTTTTTAATCAAATAAATACAGCATTGGTGAGCATTAATGACTAATGACAGTCAAAAAAACAAAACAAATTAAAAATTAATAATAAATAAAATAATAATATCTTACCAACCCCAAACATTTGTAGTGCATGTGTTTTACAGGCAAAATTATAATTTAGTGTTAGTCTGTAGTCATGATTAGCTTTATGTAACAGCAGAATCCATCTAAATGATGAGAAAATACCACAGCAACTAAGTAAATGTGTGATGAGTCACTTTCTTTTTATTCCTGCTCAGTCGCAGCAGTATTGAAAATAAAGGGAAACATGAGAGAGCCTTACGTCATGTGTGTCAAAAGCTTTGATGTGCTTTGTATAGACACGGGCCACTGAACTCTGTGTGTGTGTGTGTGTGTGTGTTCCCACGTGGACATCTGTGACTGTGCATGTGCTCATTCTACATAATTGTCCATGATGCATGCAAGACAAACATATATGCAAAAATTCATCTGATTATGATGTAAATTATTAATCAGATAGCAATGCAATGAAGTCAACACTCTGTTCTGTATGTTTCTCATGTTTTCAACAATACATATGCACAGTGATGACACCATTAAAGAGCAAGTGAGAGATTCTCACCATTAGCAGCAGCCATCAGCACCTGGAGCTGCTCAGCCTCGGTTGGGGGGTTGGGCCAGGGCCCTGTTCCCATGGCAACCTCAGGAGTGGCGGCAGCTCTGCAGAGAGGAAAAGGAAATAGAGTCAGCAAAACAGAGGCCGTTCTGTACTGCTTCTATCAGCAACAGCTGCAGTGAGTGTGTGAGGCGCTTTGTGCCCTAATTTCTCACACACACACGCACACACACACACACACACACACACACACACACACAATCCTCCATGTTTAACAACACCAAGTTGGAAAATGAAAACGACCGGAGACAGCACATGCACACAAAACCACTGAACATTTCCATGTGCGGCAACTTGATCATCAAAGGCTTGTTTAAAAACTCTGCAATTTGCATCCACAGTGAACAAAAGCTCTGATCGCACTAAAATTCACCTCATTACACGCAAAGCTTGCTTTGCTGTCGGTAACCAGGAAAAGCAACAAATACTCTTCCAATTTACCTCCATTAATTCCCCACTAACAGGAGTTTTGTTTTGAAGGTTAGAGCTCCACAAACAAGACATAATGTGTTAATTAAAAACACTACATGAGCAAAGGACAAATCGCTGTTCCTCATAAAAACATCCCGGATGTCTTTTCCCTGCGTGTGGGAAGAATAATGGAGATTCCTCATCCTGTTCCCAGTAACATCAGGAAACACGCTACTGTTCAAAAAACTTTTTTATAAATGTTTTTGGAAGAAGTCTCAAGGCTGCATTTATTAGATAAAAAAATACAGTAAAAACTGTAATAACAAGAAATATTATTCAAATTAAAAATAGCTGTTAGCTATTTGAATATATTATAAAATGTAATTTATTCCTGTGATACAATTCCTGCATCATTATTCCAGTCTACAGTGTCACACGATCCTTCAGAAATCATTCTAATATGCTGATTTGCTGCTCAAGAAACATTTCTTGTTATTAATTTTAAAAAGAGTTAATAAATAGTGCTGCTTAATATTTTTGTGGAAACAGTGATACATTTATTTTTTCAGGATTCTTTGATGAATAGAAAGCTCAAAAGAACAGAACAAGAACATCAAGTAGATTTTTGTCTTTACTTTCACTTTTGATCAATTTAATGCCATCTTGCTGAATCAAAGTATTGATTTCTTTAAAAAAAAATTTTTTTATAATCTTACTGACCCCAAACTTTTGAACATATTTGCTCAACATTTGAGCATATGAAAGATCAAGAATCTTAAGTGTGGGAATACTTGGAAAATCTAGATCAGTGCCATTAACCAAAGTGAAAATCATTTTTAAATTATTATTTTAAAATTAATTAAAATTATTATGATGCAAAGCAGGCTTTTTATAAAATCATTAAAAAATGCGTAGGATCTTGGTAAAATGCATAATGCTTAATAATTACTATTATTAATAATAAACACAAACAATAAATAAAACACCAAGCTAAATAATGATCTTGTTACTGCAGGCTGTTTACTGTTCTGAAGGCTTTTGTTTGGTTAAACTCAAATGAAAAAAATGGGTCATAACAAACAGGACAAAACCACCGAACCCACCATCTGTATGGACAAAATTCAAATAAGTATGAATGACTAACAAGTATCTCTAGCACAGAGAGAGAATGAGATGCTAATGCTAAAAGCCATCTGTCTCTGTCGGGGTCTCACTTCCTATCTTATATGAGCCCAGCAGCTGTAAAACCGTCTATCACCACAGACACCAGACAATCAACCGCAGCGGCACAGCACAACATCTGCATACAAGGCATGACCGCAGGACAGGTGGGAGAGGAGGACGAAAACAGACTCAAAGACAGGAAAAGAAGAGGACATTGGGAAAGAAAGAAAGAAAGACAGGAAGAAAGAAAGAATAGATAAACCATGAAGAACAAAAACTGGAATTTAAGCACGTGAAGGAAAAAGTGACAGAAAGGGTAAAAGAATGAAGGGCAGAAAGACATTTGAGGAGGGAAAGACACTGTTTTTGCCAAGCATTTCAAAAGAGATGAACTCGCAGTGCCAAGATGAGGGAAAAACAGGGTGATGTTGTTTTAGAGCAAACAACCCTAATGAGAACCAGAGCTGATCTGAAATCAGTGATTTACTCCAGTTCAGATCCTTAACCACTTTAAACATAGGTCAATGAAAAAACAGGTTAACTCGCCATATCCTGGCACAACACTTCAGGACGACAGACAGCAGTTCCTGTTTATAAGCATGAAGATAAAATGCCTAATTTCACCACAATCGTCGTCTCATCACACTTGCAGGAAATCAGACTTCCTGTGGTCAGCATTATCACATCCTGTGGTCAGATAATCACTTCCTGTGGACCAGATTGTGTGGGTTGTCAAAAACCACGAGTTATGGTCCAAGATGTCATCGTTTGTAGCTATTAATTCATAAAACCCCTTACAAATGTTCACATAAAGGAAATTAAGTCATTATTTGTTGTGCAATTCCCTTCATGGATCCAAAACCGTGGGATGCACTGCAACAAGGCCGGAGCTACTAATGTGCACAACTCTACACACTGTTTTCTATTCTATTCTATGAGCCCCAGCATCACTATTGGACACTAATGCAGCACCAGTAGTTTCAGATGACGAACCTGACCCAGGGAGAAACCTACAGGAACGAGCAGGGGCTCTAGCTATACTTCAATACCTCAGCCTGCTCGGCGGCATCCATCTTACATGTGTAGAGTGGAGCTTGAAGGAACTGAAAAAAATATTGATATTAACTATGGTAGTTTGGAAGAAACTAAGGTAAATAAGTCTAAAACTGAAGCACTGTGTTATTTTAGTATCATTGAGATACTATTATAGTTTTATAGTTTCAAATGAAAATGAGAAATGCCTTGGTAACTTGGAAAGTTCTTTTAATGTTTTATTTTATTATATTATTACAAGTGATTTTTAAAATAGCTTTAGTTAACTATACACTGAAACTTTTAAACAATTTTAACTAAAAAATGACAAGAAAATTCCCAAAAATGACAAGTAAATTTATAAAAAATGACAAGTGATTAAACATGACATTTTAAAGCAGAAAGACTGAAATGGTATTTTCTTGTAAAACATACTCCAATTTTCATTTTATTTATAACTTAAAATTATTTTACAGTGTAATATCCCTGCTAACAACACACAGATCTTCAGGCCTGCTGCTATATATGTAGCGCTGCCAATTTAAACTAAACAAAAAGATTTAATTTCTCCCAAATGGCTTCTTTCAAACTGGGTCTTGTCAGCCTGGAATGTGTTGTGTAACGTCTGTTATGGAAACCAGTGCACCATGAACACTGGCACACGAGAGAATCTGGACCCTATTGGCTGTCTGTGACCGACCCCTCCCCCTAAAGAGCATCTGATTGGATAATTTGTTGTCAATCACACTGAAAGTGTCAAAGCTCTTTGGAATCTTAATAGTTCCAATCAGTTTCAGCACAATGCATGACTATAACAGGCATTAGCATGGCAATAAACCTCACTGTCCCCCTCTTTTACTCTTTCTGGCCTCTCTCTCTTTCTCTTGGCAGATTGAAGTGTTGGGGGTGGAGGGGAAAGTGCATGAAAAACAGCAGCCATTTTGTTAAGAGAAGAAAATTAATATTCAGCACAGCTACTTTTTTTCTCTTCTTGTTTCTCTCTTTCTCTTTGGGTATCTTTGGAATTGCACTCTACATGTCATATATATGCAATAAGCAGTCTGTGCACACAATACTAGCTTGAACACAGCCTGTATTTTTTATACACAAGCAAATCTGCATACATTACTTAAATCTTACTCTATACACACACACACACATACAATATACAGTATACATATGTGTGTGTGTGCTAACCATTTATTCAATGCAAATGTTTCTGCTTTCAAAAGAGGTGACTTTCTACCTTTGCATATTGCAAATCTTAGTGAACGTGTGTGTGCTACTCACCCGCTGGGCCCGGGCCTCTGGTTCTGGGTGAAACGCCAGTCAGCGCTGGGTGGTTTTTGCTGTAACGAGACAAAAGGAAAGCATGAGTAATGACATATAAAAAGAAAAGTACAGTACCATTCATTTGTGAGTCTATTTGTGTGACCTCGCTATTGCCACGGGGACAGAGAAATTATGTAAGTGTATCCGTATCCTGTATACGGTGACGGCCGTCAGTGTGACCTTGAGGACGCAGCATGTGACCAAACCACGAGAACGAGAGACTTGTTTACTTTATTACATAATGCCAAAGGAAACATGAATACGATAAAGTCTAAATGAATGTCAGAAGCAGCTTTGACAAATTACTTCTAAAGAGGTTTCATTTAAAATAGATGGGTGCTCAATAAGTTACGGATATTCACACACACACACACACACACACACACACACACACACACATACAGAGCAATTAATAATGATAGCGCATCTGAAGCGTGGTTGGGATGAACAGGAATTCAAGCGTTTCAGTCTGAACACACACACACACACACACACACACACAACACACTCTCAGAGAGAGTCCAGGATTGTTCCAGTGAACGAGAAACAAGCTCTGTGACTAATTGGGCCAAAGACAGAAAGACCATTGTGATTACATCCTCAGGACAGCAAACACTCACACACACTGCATATTATCTCTTTAAAATGTCACAAACCCTAAAATGAAATAAAGAAAAAAAGAAGGGAAAAAAACATGATAAAAGCCTTTTGTAAATAGTTATACAAATAACACCTTTTGCCAATTGTAAATCTAATCTCTTAATCTCTTAAAAATAGCATCTGGGTCACACGCATAAAAAAAACTTATTTTGGGGACAAATGGGAAAAAAGAAGAAAAATACAGTTTCTTTTCCCCAATTTAGACTACTTTTGGGGATAATTCTGATCACAAAGTATAGCCAGGTAAACCAATAAACACAATAATTAAACGCTATAACAACAAGACTAACCTAAACCAAACTGTATGTGAAAATACAAAACAAAGTCTACAAATGTGAAAACCTATTTAGATGACGTCTGTGAACTGTTTTTTTTTACTAAGTATAGCCAGATAGCCAAGGAAACCCATAAACACATGATCCTAAACCTCACAAACAGAGCACAGGTGACTCTGACCCCAACACAAACACGCCTTACTCTGCACACAGAACATTATACACTAAACCACATCAGATTAATCAGAACAATCACAACATTAGTCACATCCAGGGTCAGAGTCTTTCAGACAGTAATGATTCCTGCATATCCTCATGTGTACAAAACACTAATTTGGCTAGGACACAAAGAGTTCAGAGCGAGTGAGCATGAAGCATGGTTACACTTGCCTGCAGGAATGTCAGAAAATAAAGCCAAATCTTCCATAATGAGATCTTTCTCATGACTATATACTGTATACCATCTACTGTTTTTGCAATGTGAAACAATTAACATTTCAAACAGTACTGTTACATTTTTGCCATTAGACTTAACTATGTTCCATTTTTTATTCAAGATTCACCATCGCCACGGTGATCAGAACGATGTCACACGACTTGACCTTGCCACATTAACTCAAGGTCACAGTTGCAGGTGGGAAGTGTCCCCTCAGATAATTCTATTTACATACTGAATAGTTATACAAATAACACACAATAGATGTGTCATGCTCCCAAACACACACACACACACACACACACACACACACACACACACACACACACCGGATACAGTTTGTAAATGTTTGTAAGACTGTAGGTCAGTGGTCTTCACTATTTTTTTACATGGGAGCCGCACTGATAGGGCAAAGTCAATCAGAGAGCCACGTTTACCGTGAAGTATCAAAAGTTACATCTAGTCATAAATAGCATGTCTTTTTATCAATCTGTCATCCCTCATATGCAATGCAATGCAATGGAATACAAAAGGGGCTATCATTCTTTATCATTTACCATTCAAATTTGTAACTGAGACAAGATGATAAAAAAAAAAATGCAGGATTACCTTAATGTTGGAAAGACCTTAAGTTCTTTTATTTTTTTATACTAGCCCATCGTGTATCTAACCATCCAAGTGCACATTCGGCGTTAAGAGCTATTAAGATTAAAACTGGCAACTCCGCAGTGAGTCAGTGTCATGGACGTAGGACAGAGCAAGTGTAAATATATTTTGTAGTATATATTTACATCTTGTAATGCCGCTGTTTTGGGTATTTTGAAAAAATATATAAATTATTTGTAATGAGCACACTGTCTGACCGTGTCTACACTTGTTGACACTACACTACAGTTGCAAATCATCTGAACATAGTGTTAGTACAGTTCGTCATAAATAGAACGAGGCATCAGTTTACTGATGGGGATCGTGTCGCATCGCTCTGCGCCGCATCCAGTGTAGACAACATCACTGGGTTCTATTGTCTTTTGTCGGATCGCGCCACTCGCATCTGGTGTTGACATGGTGTGAGTTTTTTTAATGGGTTCTGTTATAGCCCTGCTTGTTTTTAATGTTTTTATGAAATATCTGTATTGACTGCATGATCATATCATCGTATTATTTACTGCCATGCGAGCCACAAAGTAAAGCTTGGCGAGCCACGCAATGAGTAACAGTGCTGTAGGTTGTTTTTTGGCGGCTGTGCTTGTGCCTTGTGTGTCTTGCTCATTTCGTAGGGCACAACATCTCTCTCACTTGGCAGCATGCCTCTGTTTGAGGTGCAGCAGTAAATTGGTCGTACTGCTACCTTTGCTAGCAACAGACTTCAAACACACTTTGGGTGTTGTTTGTTCTGTGTCTGACGCCGCAAAACCGAACCAATTCTAAATTACGGATGACACTACTGTGCCTTTCTTGGGAACGAGTTCTTCCCTGCTTGCTGCCATGTTGTTTGTGTATCTCTATGGCAAACGCGTGGGGGGAGGGCTGAGTCCATTCGGAACTACGGGAGCCCAGAGGGGAGCGTCGGCAGATGCTAAAAAGAATGTTGTTATTATTATTATTATTTTATTTTACATTTTTTTGCATTATAATAATGAGAACTGAAAGTTGTGCTTTAATTGTAATGAACATTTCTAAAATTTGAATTAAAAAAAGGTAAAGATAAAGAATTATGACAATTTAGGAACATTTGACATTTTTACAAATTCAAATTACTGCAACTTGAAATTAAGTTGAGTCATTATTCTCATTAGATTCTTATTCAATATTTTAAATAATAAAAAAAACAATTTTACTGCATGCATTAAGCGTTGCAGTCATGAAAATGAGATAGACTGTGCGCAGTTGTCATGAAAAGGCAAGAAATTCTAATTTCTGAAATTCTAAAAGCTTTTTAAAGCACAATATGATCTAGACATTTTTTGACAGATTATGTGAGATTCACTCTTAAAACGTTGGAAAGAAAGATGGTAAAAGGGAAGTGAAAGTCAAAAGATGTTTTTGATGGTGAAAAAGAAAAGGTAAGAAACCATTAAGAGTAACTAATGCAAGATTATCAAAATCATTCTTATAGGTCCAGAATCTGCTATGGACCAAGAGAACCACACACACACACACACACACACACACACACAGAGAGAGAGAGCACGTGTCATGACAGCAGAGCCAGATGGCAGCCCAGCGACCCGAGAGACAGAACGACTCTCAAGAGACTTAGAGATGGGACATTAGGTCCCGAACGGAGAGAATGGGTGAAAGAAAGAGGAAAATCTCCATTTCTCAGGCTCATCCCCTACAGACATAAACACAGGAGATTACAGAGGAATTCAGTTTCGACAAACAGCAAACTCATATAACACTTGACCAAAACTCTAGAAATAACTGCTTTGCATGCCACAGAAACACAGGAGGAACTTGCAATAAGAAACTGACAAATCATACACAAGAGTTCATGCAAATGAGAATTGTCTCACAGTTACAATGGAGATTTACTATGGGATATCCCAGATGTGACACACAGAGTATGTCATATGACTCAGACGTGTGGAGTCAATAATATGAGTTCAGCACAACAGGAAGTCAGGGGTCAGTGCATGACCTCTGGAATCCTGTTATTCCGCCACCTCTTTCTTCCACTACCTACTTCTTATTTATCTCTCTCTCCATCCGTCATATTCCCGCCTTTTCCTTCCCCCACCTAAATCCTCATTTTTGTCTGTCGGTCAGTTCCTTTTCCTGTCCATCTGTTATCCATGCCTCTTTCAACCTCACTTTAGAGTTTCTGATATGTGCACTCACAATGTCTGCTCCATATTTCTGTTCATATCTTCCATCTAAACCAGTGCACTGCAAAAAATTTTCCTTACTCTGTATTTTTGTCTTGTTTTCCAGTACAAAGACATTTGTTTACTTTTTACAATAAACTATTTTAGTGTCTCCACTTGATGTTCAATGTCAAATCTGGGTCCTGAGGCAAAAACAGTTGAGAACCACTAATCTAAATGTTTTTTCTCTCTGACAACCATGTTTCCAAATCTAAAATATTTCCTTAGTGTGTCTTAATTTTCTCCTCCCTTCTTGTCTGACACCATCCAGACTCTGCTAAATGCTTTTCATTTGTTCTTAATATATCTGCACCCTTTTCCTTTGTGATCCCACATCTTCTTCCTCTGTTCTTTCTCCTTTTTCCTGTTTAGTCACAGGACTCACACCCTGCCAGTCTGTTGCAGCTTTTGGAAGCCAGTTACTAAATCATAAAAACGGCACTATGACGTACACTTGAAGCATATTTAACAAATTACCCAGCTGCTTCATATAAAACAAAACTATGCTCATAAAACAAAGAATCTCAGAGAAAACACAAAATAGGCTTCAACATGAATAATAACCAGCTCTGAGGTTGAAACATTACCTGATATATTTTTTCCACCTACACTACTGCTCAAAAGTTTGGATTAACTACATTTTTAAAATGTTTTTGAGAGATATTTCTTCTGCTCACCAAGGCTGTTTTTATTTGATAAAAAAATGCAGTAAAAACAGTAATTGTGAAATATTATTATAATTTAAAAGAACTGTTTTGGGTAGTTAAGATTATATATATATATATATATATATATATACTTTTATTCAGCAAGGATGTATTAAATTGATCAAAATTGCAATAAAGACATTTATAATGTTGTAAAACATTCATATTGCAAATAAATACTATTCGTTTGAGGTTTCTTTTCATCAAAGAATCCTGAAAAAAATTAATAAATCAATTTCCCAAAAAATATTTAGCAGCAGCAAAAAAAACAACAACACTGATAATAATGATTATTAATATTTGAGCACCAAATATTATGTTATGTAGTTTTCATCAAATAAATGCAGCCTTGGCAAGCTAAAAAAAAGACTTCTTTCAACAACATAAAAAAATGATTCTCTTATCCAAACTTTTGAGTGTCAGTGAAAGAAAGAAACCATTAGTGACTCAACAGTGAAGAATCTGATTGGCTGTGGGGATGAGTATGCTCTCACCTCATTGGCTGAGTTCATTAAGTGCTTCCTAGTCAAAGTCATGTTTAATGTGTTGTTATGACTCAACATGGGAGTTTTGACAAACACAAAATCACTCCTGCTGGAGAGCGTTGAGTAGCAGGGCCTGTAGGTCCTTGTGTGAGGTTCCTGAGGCCCTCCGACCACCTCCATATATCTAATGGGTCCATCAGTGTTTAGCTGGAGGTGAAGGTCCTTATGGGCTCTCTGCTGATAGGCATGCCTGGAACGGAAGCCCGTTCTGGAGTAGCAGCATGTCGAACCATCCTTGTGCCTGATGCACCGTACCAAGAGCACCGCCATGGTCAAGAGCGACACCAACGACACACAGCCCAATGAGATGATGAGGTACAGAGTGATGTCTGTCATTCCTGTCCCCTTGTGTGGCGTTATACGGAAGTCTGTAGATTTATCTGCGCTTTTTTCTTCTACGGTAACGGTAACCAAAACGCTAGTGGACAAAGCTGGCTGGCCGTTGTCTCGCACAACCACTATAAAGTTATAAGCTGGGTGGGTTTTACCACCCTGTTCGTCGTCCATGAGTTTTTGTGCGGTACGCAGTTCGCCCGTGTGCGGTTCGATGTGAAACAGCGATGAATCGTCCCCTGGAGCGATACTGTAGAAGAGCCAAGCATTGTGGCCGCTGTCGGGGTCAACGGCGACAATCTTGTTGACGCGATGGCCGACGGGGGCACCGTGCAGGACGGTCAGCTGGAGCCCTGCGTCTTCAGAGTGTGTTGGGTAAAGGATGATGGGTGGGTTGTCATTCTGGTCGACCACAAAAACATGCACGGTGACATTAGACGTCTGCGGTGGAGCTCCAGCATCGCGCACCTGCACTTCGATCTTGAACGCATTCATTTGCTCGTAATCCAAAGAGCGCATGGTGAAGATGTTCCCGTTCTCTGGGTTGATGTAGACGTATGAGGAAATGGGGCTGCCGTGGATGGTGGTCGGTAGGATGGAGTATGACAATCGGGCGTTGTCTCCAACGTCTGGATCTGACGATGAAATTGCTACTATCGGAGTACCAGGAGCATTATTTTCAGCTACATCCACTGAGTAGGAGTTCTGCGAGAACACTGGAGCATTATCATTAACATCTGATAAACGGACCACAAAAGTCTTCTGAGACGATAGTGGAGGCGAGCCAGAGTCAGTCGCAGTGACAACAACAGTGTACTCATCAATGACTTCTCTGTCTAGACGTCCGTCAGTCACAAGTGTGTAGTGTTCTCCAAAGGCTGACTTTAGTTTAAACGGAAGTACTTGGGATACTCTAAGTGTGACTTTTCCATTATCCCCAGAATCTAAGTCTTTTGCACTGATTAACGCAATAACAGTGCCGGTTTCAGCATCCTCCCGGATGGGGCTGGTTAGTGAGGTTAATGTCACCTCCGGAGTGTTATCGTTCACATCGATTATTTCCACTTTAATGTTGCATGAGCCCTCCATGGCGGGAGAGCCTCCGTCCCTGGCTTGTACTGTGATGTCATACACACTGGCTTCCTCATAATCCACATCCCCCACAACACGGATTTCCCCTGATTGAGAATCAACACTGAACATTTTAAGTGTTCTCTCTGGTGTGTATTTACTGAATAAGTAAGATATTTCCCCGTTTATCCCAGAGTCCACATCAGTGGCATTCAGTTTAGTCACAAGCGTTCCTGGAGGAGAGTTTTCCAAAAGACTAACCCTTTTTACCGGCTCATCAAACACCGGCGCGTTGTCATTCACGTCCAGAATCTTAATAAGTAGGAGGGTGGTCCCGGATTTCTCCGGCTGTCCTCCGTCCACGGCCGTGAGCGAGAGGCGAAACGCGGCCTGCGACTCCCGGTCCAGAGCCTTTTCCAGGACGAGCTCTGGAAACTTACTGCCGTCGCTTTTAGTCTCCACGTTTAAAACAAAATAGTCGCTGCTGGAAATGCTGTACGTGCGTAGGGAGTTAATGCCCACATCGGGATCGCGTGCGCTCTCCAGACGGAACCGCGTTCCCGGTGCGGCCGCCTCGGAAATCTCTAGTGATGAATTTACGTTTGGAAACTGCGGCGCGTTGTCGTTTACATCATCAATTTGAACAAGAATTCTGTGAATTTCTAAAGGGTTCTGAAGAAGAATTTGAAGGTGCAAAGAGCAAGTCGAACTTAAAGCGCAAATGCTCTCTCTATCGATAGTCTCTCTAATAACCAAGACACCGTTAGGATTTACCTCGAAATATTGCGCGTTAGATCCCGACACCACCTGTAAATTTCTTTCAGTAATCCTCATTGCGCTGAGACCCAAATCCCTCGCTATATTCCCAACGACAGACCCCGGTTTCTGTTCCTCCAGTACCGAATAACGGAGCTCACCGGACGCGATTGAGAGGTGCATGAGGGAGAGCGCGAGGCAGAGCACGGGCCACGAGCGTCTCCTCTCCATTATGTGCGATCCGGGGAGGGGAAAAGTATCAACTTTTTCGTATTATAGAATCCATATTCCAATTAAAGTGGCGCTACGATGTCGCGCGTAACGCAGTCCGATTCGCGCGGAGCGAAGGAAGAAGTTTAACATAATTAATGACGACTGTGAACCTTTCGGGAAATCACAAGAGAGGAAAAAAACAGTCCTCCATCCAGCTCTTCTCCAAAACTCCCTGAATTAGCAGCGCCTCCGCTGCGCAACAGGGCGGAGACTGAGTCACAAAGAGGTCCGTCCTATTGCACACACAGAGAGAGCGAGAGAGACACCCACACACTTCTCCTAGCGCTTGGAGAAACTTTCACAGCTCAGGTCGACCTGTTTCCAGCACACATGCCAGTGATCCCATGTGGTTTAAAATATTTTAGAGCCGAGATACAGAACATCAGAGACTCAAAGGAACGCTGCCAATTTGCGAACACGGCCACAGACCACAACACCATTGAAAACTTCTATTGACAACTCTGGCAATGTTGCAATTCAAGGTAAAAAAAATGCAATTATATATTTCATATCATTATAAAACACTGACGAGAAATGATACGAGGGCGACTGAATACATACAATATTCTATATTCAACATTAGACAAAACAATATTCTACATGTCAAAAGAGGATTACAATGACACGCCGCTAGACGGCGCAGTTTTCCCTCTTTGTTTTCGCATAACAATAAAAAGTGCTTTTATTGCACGACAGTTTATTAGGAATAACATATTTCTAGGCATAAAAGAAAACAATTCACACAAATGTTAAATATGTTCTCAGGCTTTAAGACCTCACTATGAATGAATGTTACTTATCTGTCAAAAATTATATAATTGCAGTTGATGAGATACATTAAGCGTAGTGATATGGGTACCCATACTATTTATCACCGGCTGATAAATCCCAAAACACATCTATACTGATCATGTCCCTCAGGTCTGCGGTGCTGCTTGGCTTTACGAGAGTGAATCCAGTGAATCAAATCTGTTACAAATCTGTCTGTATTTCAAAAGACACAAAGGCAAAACAACTACCCAACAAATATTCAGATATCTTTCCCCAAAATATATATATTTTGTCACTGCTGTTGCCTGCCTAAAGGAGGTATGCAGAACAATGCATATCTTTCTCTCTCTGCTCCATGGTGAGGAGAGGCTGGATGAATGTTTTGGTCTGTGCAGTTCTGCTACTGAGACTGAGTTTAATCCAATCAAATATTATTTTGCCATTAAAGATACACCATATAAAAAAATAGGTGGTTGTATTAAATATTTTGTTATTATATTTAGTCAATAATAGCAACAACAACTTAAATGGGATAATAATAATAATAATAATAATAATGATGTAATAAACATGCAATGCACCATACTTTTATACAGTTTCTGTATATTTAAATGAATGATAACATTATTGTCTTACAGAAAACAAAACATTTTTTTTGCTATTGTGTGTTACTTATAATTATACAAAATTATATTTATATTGATCATATTTATAATTCTATTTACATTTTTTATAATGACAACATATTTATAAGCATTAAAGATACATAAACTGCATAGTAGTTTATTATTTTTTGCACTGTATAAGTCTATTAAAGAATTATACAGATCACAAACTGTAACAAATTTAACATTTTTGTTGCTATTGTGTGATTTAAAATGTGATTCTTTAAAGATACAAAAACTGTTTAAAAGTTGGGTGTATAAATACACTGCATGATAACATTCCTAGTATTTGTCAGTGATATTATTATTTTGCTATTCTATAGTTTCTATAAATATATTGGGTGATTTGCATTATATGCCTCCTGGTGTGAATAAATCTTAATTTGCGCACAGATGATAGATTTGTAGACTTCTTAAGAATGTATGTTAAATTATAACCATGTTACTGACAGCTGCACATGTGTTTGTGTGTTGTCTTTACTGCCGCCCTGTGGTGAGTTTTATTAACTGCAGCTGTGCGCGCACGCGTTCAATAGCAGGAGGGGAGGGGCGAGCGGACCGCACACACAGATTTATTTATAAAGGAAACAAAAACAGTACAAACTTATTTTAACTTATTAAAACGATAGTAAAAAACAAACAAACATAAAACTATTTTAAAAAAGCAAACTGGAGGGGTTGAGAGACAGCGGATCTCAAATGTTGCTATTAGAGACACTGAGAAGGAGGGTGACGTAAGAGCCCGTTTCAGCACTAGAGCAGCGGACAGCGACACTCAGCCGAACGCCTGCTGCTGCAAGCAGCCGACCCAACACACACACACACACACACACACACACACACACCATCTGTAATCCAATCAGCTCCCAATAAACCAGTCAGCAACCTCCTCATACAATGAAATTAACCTCGATTCAAACAACAGTACAGTATTTCACACAGCTCTATCACATACAACAGCTGAATCTTAAAGATTCCATACATTTTCGAAAGTTAAATCAATTTCAGATATAGACTGGTCCTTTTAAAAATACAACAGTACAGTATTCAAAAACACCAGAAACTCAGAAAAATGGTACAAATGAATATGTCAAAATAATGAGAAATGTGACATACTATAAGGTTTATAGGGTTTGGGGTGCAAAGAAACAGACCAGGTGATGTAACCTATATAACTACTGTGAATATAATGTTTACAATCAGTTTGGACACACATTCCTTATTATTGTTATTTTCTAAACCTTTGAATAATACATTCCCTTAAGTATCCACTCAAATAAACAAACAAAAATGTTTTGTAAAGACATACACAGACAGGTTATATTTGTCTAATCAAAAGCGTTTAAGTAAAAAACTTTAGAAAAAAAAGTAAGATTATAAGAAACAAATTCTCTGATTCATCAATTCAAGTGTATCCAAACTGTTGACTTGAAGCATATATTGAAGAATTCAAAATACATTGCAACATATCTGAGTTGCTATAGAAAACAGATCTATGTTTTTACCTTTAGAAGTGGAATAATAAAATGTGTGTATAATTAGACTTTTTTTATATAAAAGAAACACAAACATAAAACTACATAGTTTGGGTGTGAGAAATGTGTGTGTTTGTGTGTTCTTCAATGCTTTTCTTACCTTGATTTGCAGAAACAGGTATGGATTAGCAGGAGAAGATGATATCACAGCATCAGCAGCAACAAGAACATGAAAAAGAAGAAAAAAAACAAAACAGATTTGATTAGAGTGATGCAACAGCAGATGTGTGCAGGACCCTCATACTTACCAAACCCTTCAGTCTGAGACCTTTATCAGGTCTCAAGATACTTCAGCAAGAACAGAAACACATATATTTGTTTGTCAGACAGAGATATAAATGAAAGAAAAAGAAAAAGCAGAGAAACTCCTCTGATGAGCAGCAGCTACAGATATTAATAATTCAAACCTTCTTCATATCGCTCTCTCTTACACACACAAATCTCATCCTTCATAACTGCAGATGACATTGCAGAAATAAATTGCAATGGCACAAAATGCTCAAAGTGTACAGAGGTTATCTCTAGTGATCTATTTTGTAAAACAATTTTATTAGAGACATGAAGAAGTGAACAATGTATAATCCCTCAAAATATTTATATTATGTGCTAATTATTTGATGAAGAAAATAACAATCCATATAATTGGTCCATATATATATATATATATATAACTCCCATAAGGAATGTGTTTATTATGGGCACATTTGAACACGTTACTAAATAAGAGTGTATATCAAAATGCAACATGAACAAAACTGAATTAAGCAATTAAATTAAACTGTTTCATTCCAAAAACCTCACCTGATTATCTGTATCTCTGGATATCTTTTTATGCTCCTGAACGTGCGTGAGTGGCTGTGTTCCATCGGTGTCCAAACTAATGATGCTCTGACTACAAGGACGAACAAATTTCAGATCACTCTTTCTTGAGTCGGTAGTGCCACACATTTCATAATTAAACACTTGCTTTAGAGTTCCTGTGCCCCCTAGGTCTGCGTAAAGAGGCGGATAATACGGAATAACTGGAAGATTCGCTCCAGATTTGTAAAAAATTCGCTCGCGTCTCCATCTGTAGCACGGAGGAAGATTTAATGCGAAATGGCAAATCTGAATTAACGAAGCATTTAAATTGTCCGTTTTTACCGGAGTCTATATCTTTAATGTTGAGCATTGCAATAACTGTATCTGGGGTGGAGTCCTCTGGGATGGGACTGGAAAATGAGATAACGCTTATAACAGGTGCATTGTCATTAATGTCGGTCAATTCAATAAGCACTTTACTATTATCAGTTAGTCCTCCTTTATCCATGGCCTCAAGATTCAATTCGTATTGCTTTGATTTTTCATAATCCAAAAGACCATTTACGTAAATTTCCCCAGTAATCTCATCGATTCTAAAAAGGTCTACGTCTTTTCCAGAGCTTTGTGAAAACGAATATGTCACCTCACCATTTGATCCTTTGTCTTTGTCTGTAGCACTTACGGTCAGCACCACTGTACCTATCGCTGCATTTTCTGCTAAAGAAACTCTGTACACTGACTGACTGAAAGCTGGAGTATTGTCGTTTGCATCAATTACCGTGACACTTATTTTAACTGTTCCGGATTTTTGAGGGCTCCCTCCATCAAAAGCAGTCAGGGTTAGTTTCAGTTCTTCATCTCTCTCCCTGTCCAACGGCGACTGTAAAACCATCTCAACGTATTTTGTACCATCACTGCGCGATTTTTCTTTCAATGAAAAATAATCAGTTGGTATCAGAGTGTACCTTTGAAGTGTATTTAATCCAACATCAGGATCGTGCGCACCGTCTAAGGAAAAACGAGCACCGGGCACGGCAAGCTCGCTTATCTGAAAGTTTATCTCTTTTCTAGTAAAAACAGGAGCATGATCATTGATATCTAATATTTCCACATCGACACTATGCAGCTCCATGGGGTTTTCTATAATAATCTGAAAATGCAAGGAGCAGGGAGACACTTGGGCGCACAGCTCCTCTCTGTCTATTCTCTCTTTCACTACCAGAGTCCCTTTATCCACATTCAGACCGATGTACTCACGACTGTCCTCCGTAAAGATCCGCGCTCGACCAGATTTCAGCCTCTTAACATCCAAACCGAGATCCTGAACGATATTTCCCACAAGCGAGCCCTTCATCATCTCTTCTGGAATAGAATAACGGACCTGCCCGCGCGCAACGGCCATGACAAAGACGCACAGCACGAGATGCTGCATTAGCCATGATGAAATCCGCGTCGAAGATGCGCCTCTTTGGGCGTAAAAACAAAGAACCAACATAATCAAAATCTTCTTGCACAAAAAGATGAAAAATATATATATCTGAAGACTTAGAAAGGATGTAGTATATCAGTAATGTAAAAAGAAGAGTCAATCGGTTGTTCAACCATCCAATGTTAGAAAGAGACCGTGTGAAATGAAAGAGATATTCTGCAGACGGTATGATGTCAGAAAGTGGAGGAGGACATACGAAAGAAAGTCTGCTTAAAAGCTCAACATACTGACCAACAGCGGCACTTAGAGCATAAACGAAATATTGCATTGAAAAATGGTTTGATACAGAGCAAATCATAATAAAAAATTAAAATACATATAATAATAACAACAACAACAATAAATCCTTTTAACACAAATGTTAGATTGAATGACTTAAAGTTATGGTACAAAGATGATGGCATGATTCGACGCTCCGCAAACACATACACAGATTAAACACTATTTTAAGGAAATCAGAGAAAAATAAATAAATAAAATAATCAATTCACAGTTAAAATGGAAAGCAGAAAATCATATTTATGACGATTCACTCGAGCTCACCTCATCAACAGAATCGTCATTATTCAGTTTTCTTCTTTGCGCATGCGTGAGTGTCTGTGTTCCGCTGCTGTCCAGACTAATGATGCTCTCACTGCAAGGTCTGCCGTATTTCAGATCACTCTTTCTGGAGTCAGTGGTTCTGCGCTTTTACGCGAATGTTCAATTCTTTTGTTTGCTCATAATCAAACGAACGAACAGCAAGAATCTCTCCGCTCTCTGCATTCACTGAAATAAATGTCGAAGCAGAGACGCCATTCACAAGAATATCTTCTAGAAAATATGAAATACGCGCGTTATTGCCATCGTCTTTGTCATGCGCTTTAACAGATAAAACAGAGACTCCGGGCAAATTATTTTCCATCACATATGCGGTGTATGACTGACGCTGAAACATAGGGGCGTTGTCATTGACATCAGATATTTTCAGAGTCAGTGTTTTATTAGTAGAGAAAGAAGGCGAGCCCTCATCAATAGCTGTTATTGTGATATTATATTCAGGCATTTTTTCACGATCTAATAATTGATCGGTTGTCACACTATAAAAATTTGAGGCAGATGACTGTATTTTGAATGGCAAATTTAGAGCAATAGAACATTTAACCTGTCCGTTTCTCCCCGAATCCATATCTTTGACATTCAGCATCGCTATCACAGTCTCCGGCGCTGCGTCCTCGGGTATAGGGTTAGAAAATGAAATTAAGCTTATCATGGGTGCATTGTCATTAATATCAATTAATTCTATAATAACTTTACTGGAATCGGTCAAGCCACCTGTATCAGCTGCTTCAACATTTAACTGAAAATGTTTTGACCTCTCGAAATCCAGGTCACCGTTAACCGTAATGTCACCACTTTCTGAATCTATATCGAATAGCTCTAAAGCCTTTCCTGAAGTTTGTGAAAAGGAATACCTCCGTTCAGCATTCGTTCCTTTGTCTTTATCAGTGGCAGTCACGCTCACGACACCAGTGCCCTTTGGTGAATTCTCCAGTAAGGAAACTCTATACACGGGGAGACTAAACACAGGAGCATTGTCATTTGCGTCGATTACAAGAACACTTATCTTAATAGTGCCTGATTTCTGAGGACTGCCGCCATCAAACGCAGTCAATATTAATTTATGCTCCTCTTGATTTTCTCTGTCTAGTGTTTTTTGTAGAATCATTTCAACATATTTCAATCCATCATTTCCCATCTGTTCTTTCAGAGAAAAATGATCAGGCGGATATAGTGTGTATTTCTGAAGGGTATTTAAACCCACATCAGAATCTTGAGCCTTATCTAAAGAAAATTTGGCTCCAGGTGTAGCTGATTCACTTATTTGAAACTGTATTTCTCGGCGTGTGAAAACAGGAGCATTATCATTAATATCTAATATTTCCACATCAATTCTATGCAGCTCCATGGGATTTTCTAGAATGATCTGAAAATGCAAGGAGCAGGGAGACACTTGAGCACACAGCTCCTCTCTATCTATTCTCTCTTTCACTACCAGAGTCCCTTTATCCACATTCAGACCGATGTACTCACGACTGTCCTCCGTAAAGATCCGCGCTCGACCAGATTTCAGCCTCTTAACATCCAAACCGAGATCCTGAACGATATTTCCCACAAGCGAGCCCTTTGTCATCTCCTCTGGAATAGAATAACGGACCTGCCCGCGCGCAACGGCCATGACAAAGACGCACAGCACGAGAGGCTGCATTAACCATGATGAAATCCGCGTCGAAGATGCGCATCTTTGGGCGTAAAAACAACAAAGAACCGACATAATCCAAGTGTTCTATTCCACTACAGAAGAGAAGACCAAGCACAAAATAATCTGGGAGATTGAAAAAATAACAAAGCTCATCCGAAAACACAGGGCAGAGAATGTCTCGATGCATCAGTGTCAAACAGAGATCGTCTGAATGAAAGAAATATTCTGCAGACTGTATGATGTCAGAAAGTGGAGGAGGATCTAAAAACGAATGATTAAAGCCTGAACATACTGACCAACAGCGTCACTTAGTGCATCAAATAAATATTGCACTAAAAATGCTATTGAAGAGCAATAAAGAAAATGACATGAATTGCGACCAAACTAGAGTACTTTGCATTAACGCAGACTTTTGCTGAAATATTAATAAAATAATGTTCTAAACCGAACATATAAGAATATAAGTAAAGGAAAATAGTCAAAAGCAAAACATAAACTACAATATATAGCCCTATACAAGTACGATTCAACGAGACTCGCTCATGAGTGCTCACATATGCACAACAAAAACCTCTTAGCGCAACTAGGAAAATAAAGACAGTGTCTGCTTGCAATTTCCTATTAAATATTTAAAAGTTATGGGTTTGATATGAACAAGTGTGACAAATGTATAGTCTCGAAAATGATATCGGTACAGTACATTTCTACAGCTGTTTAAATTATGAATTATATATAAAAAAAAACATATAGAATAAATAAAAAATAAAAAATAAAAAATAAATAAATAGACACCAGAAAGTCATATTCATAACCATTCACACGAGCTCACCTGATCAAAATAATCCTCATTATTCAGTTTTCCTCTTTGCGCATGCGTGAGTGTCTGTGTTCCGCTGCTGTCCAGACTAATGATGCTCTCACTGCAAGGTCTGCCGTATTTCAGATCACTCTTTCTGGAGTCAGTGGTTCTGCAAACCTCATAATTGTACACGTGCTGTAAAGTTCCTGTGGACAGCAATAATCTCTCCGCTCTCTGCATTCACTGAAATAAACGTTGAGGCAGAGACGCCATTCACAAGAATATCTTCTAGAAAATATGAAATACGCGCGTTATTGCCAGCGTCTTTGTCATGCGCTGTAACAGATAAGACAGAGACTCCGGGCGAATTATTTTCCATCACATATGCGGTGTATGACTGACTCCAAAACACAGGGGTGTTGTCATTAACATCAGATATTTTTAGAGACAGTGTTTTATTAGTAGAGAAAGAAGGCGAGCCTTCGTCAATAACTGTTATTGTAATATTATATTCAGAAATGTTTTCACGGTCCACATTTTCATCAGTGATCAAACTGTAGAAATTCTGCGCAGATGACTTTACTTTGAACGGCACATCTGGAGCAATAGAACATTTAACCTGCCCGTTTCTCCCTGAATCTAAATCTTTGACATTCAGCATCGCAATAACAGTTTCTGGCGCTGCGTCCTCGGGTATTGGGTTAGAAAACGAAATCACGCTTATTACAGGGGGGTTGTCATTTACATCTATAATGTCGATTACCACTTTACTAGAATCTGTTAAGCCACCTTTGTCCGTAGCATCTATGTTTAGCTCAAACTGCTTCGCCTTCTCATAATCTAAATCCCCTCCTACGGTTATTTCACCTGTATTTGTGTCAATATGGAATAAATCAAGTGCTTTTCCAGAACTGCGTGAAAAAGAATACGCAATCTCACCGTTTGCGCCTTGGTCATTATCAGTAGCGCTTACCTTGATTACTACAGCGCCAATCGGTGAATTCTCAAATAAAGACACACGGTAAACAGGTAGACTGAAAGCAGGGGCATTATCATTTGCGTCTATGACCGTAACACTTATCCTAACGGTACCAGTTTTCTGAGGACTGCCTCCATCGAAGGCTGTAAGGGTTAATTTGTGTTCCTGCTGAGTCTCTCTGTCTAACGGCACTTGAAGAACCATTTCGACGTATTTTGAGCCATCGTTTCGTGATAGGACCTTTATATCAAAATTCTCTGTTGGATTTAACATGTACGACTTGAGCGCGTTAGTGCCAGTGTCAGGATCCTGGGCGCTGTCTAATGAAAATCTAGCCCCGGGAAGAGCAGATTCACTTATTTGAAAATCAATTTCCTTTCTAGCAAAAACAGGAGCATGGTCATTGATATCTAATATTTCTATATCAATTCTATGCAGCTCCATGGGGTTTTCTAGAATGATCTGAAAATGTAAGGAGCAGGGAGACACTTGGGCGCACAGCTCCTCTCTGTCTATTCTCTCTTTCACTACCAGAGTCCCTTTATCCACATTCAGACCGATGTACTCACGACTGTCCTCCGTAAAGATCCGCGCTCGACCAGATTTCAGCCTCTTAACATCCAAACCGAGATCCTGAATGATATTTCCCACAAGCGAGCCCTTTGTCATCTCCTCTGGAATAGAATAACGGACCTGCCCGCGCGCAAAGGCGATGACAAAGACGCACAGCACGAGATGCTGCATTAGCCATGATGAAATCCGCGTCGAAGATGCGCCTCTCTGGGCGTAAAAACAACAAAGAACCGACATAATCCAAGTGTTCTATTCCACTACAGAAGAAAATATTAAAAACAGATGATTCAGAAAGGGTGAACAATATAAAAGTTCATACGAAAATACAAGGCAGCGAATATCTCGATGCTTTAGTATAAAGAGGAGACCGTCTGAGTGAGAGATTCTGCAGATGTGATGAGAGAAAGTAGAGGAGGATCTAAAAATGAGTGTTTAAAGCCCGAACATACTGACCAACAGCGGCACTTAGTGCATCAGAGAAACATTACACTGAAAAAAAATTAAAGAGCAATACAGAAAATTACATGAATTACGACCAAAATAGTATTTATTTTGCGTTAAGGCAGAATTTTGCTGAAATATGAATAAAACGATGTTTTGAAACGAACACCTAGAATATGATGAAAAGAAAATACTCAAAAGCAAAGCATAAACTATAACATAGCCCTTCAGTAATAGGTACGATTCACTGCGATACTCATGCGCACACATAAGCACACTTAAAAAAAAAATCTTGGTTGACTGAGCGCAACTGGAAAAGTATAATAATAATTTAAAAGTCAGTGTCTGTATCTAATCTTTTTAATAAAACATCGAAAGGTTATGGTTTTGATATAAAGTATGAACATGTACAGTCACCAAAATATCATCTGCAAATTTAAACTACAGCTGCTATTTCTTTAAATATAAATCTAAAAAATAAAACAAGTACAGTATACAACCATAAAACTGATGAAGCCAGAAAGAATAAAATATAAATGGACATCAAAAAGTCATATTCACGATCATTCACTGGAGCTCACCTGATCAAAAGAATCCTCAATATTAAGTTTTTCTCTTTGCGCATGCGTGAGTGTCTGTGTCCCGCTGCTGTCCAGACTAATGATGCTCTCACTGCAAGGTCTGCCGTATTTCAGATCACTCTTTCTGGAGTCAGTGGTTCTGCAAACCTCATAATTGTACACGTGCTGTAACGTTCCTGTGCCCCCTACGTCTGCGTAAAGAGGCGGATAATACGGAATAACTGGAAGATTCGCTCCAGATTTGTAAAACATCCGCTCGCGTCTCCATCTGTAGCATTTGACTGACAGTATGGCGATGATAGACACGATAAAGAGAAACGAAACTGAGAGGGCTTCCCGTTGTCCTCCACTACAACAGTGAGTCTTTGTTTCACAGCATCTTTATCTGTCACTTGACGTACAGTTCTTATTTCTCCATTCTGTAAGCCCACTTCAAACAGCGCTCTGTCTGTGGCCTTCTGCAGTTTATATGAGAGCCAGGCATTCTGTCCAGAGTCCACATCAACAGCCACCACTTTAGTCACCAGATAACCCACATCTGCCGAACGAGGCACTATTTCAGCCACCACAGAAGCGCCTGACTGGACCGGATACAGAACCTGAGGCGCGTTGTCATTCTGGTCCTGAATCGTTATTTTCACGCTCACGTTGCTGCTGAGAGGAGGATTTCCTCCGTCCTGCGCTTTTACGCGAATGTTAAATTCTTTTGTTTGCTCATAATCAAACGAACGAACAGCAAGAATCTCTCCGCTCTCTGCATTCACTGAAATAAACGTCGAAGCAGAGACGCCATTCACAAGAATATCTTCTAGAAAATATGAAATACGCGCATTATTGCCAGCGTCTTTGTCATGCGCTGTAACAGATAAAACAGAAACTCCGGGCAAATTATTTTCCATCACATATGCGGTGTATGACTGACGCTGAAACATAGGGGCGTTGTCATTGACATCAGATATTTTCAGAGTCAATGTTTTATTAGTAGAGAAAGAAGGCGAGCCCTCATCAATGGCTGTTATTGTGATATTATATTCAGACATTTTTTCACGATCTAATAATTGATCGGTTGTCACACTATAGAAATTTAAGGCAGATGACTGTATTTTGAATGGCAAATTTGGAGCAATAGAACATTTAACCTGTCCGTTTCTCCCCGAATCCATATCTTTGACATTCAGCATCGCTATCACAGTCTCCGGCGCTGCGTCCTCGGGTATAGGGTTAGAAAATGAAATTAAGCTTATAATAGGTGCATTGTCATTAACGTCAATTAATTCGATAATAACTTTACTGGAATCTGTTAAGCCACCTTTATCTGTTGCTTCAACATGCAATTGAAAATGTTTTGTCCTCTCGAAATCCAGGTCACCGTTAACCGTAATGTCACCACTTTCTGAATCTATATTGAATAGATCTAAAGCCTTTCCTGAAGTTTGTGAAAAGGAATACCTCAGTTCAGCATTCGTTCCTTTGTCTTTATCAGTGGCAGTCACGCTCACGACACCAGTGCCCTTTGGTGAATTCTCCAGTAAGGAAACTCTATACACGGGGAGACTAAACACAGGAGCATTGTCATTTGCGTCGATTACAAGAACACTTATCTTAATAGTGCCTGATTTCTGAGGACTGCCGCCATCAAACGCAGTCAATATTAATTTATGCTCCTCTTGATTTTCTCTGTCTAGTGTTTTTTGTAGAACCATTTCAACATATTTCAATCCATCATTTCCCATCTGTTCTTTCAGAGAAAAATGATCAGGCGGATATAGTGTGTATTTCTGAAGGGTATTGAAACCCACATCAGAATCGTGCGCATTATCTAAAGAAAATTTGGCTCCAGGTGTAGCTGATTCACTTATTTGAAACTGTATTTCTCGGCGTGTGAAAACAGGAGCATTATCATTAATATCTAATATTTCCACATCAATTCTATGCAGCTCCATGGGATTTTCTAGAATAATCTGAAAATGTAAGGAGCAGGGAGACACTTGGGCGCACAGCTCCTCTCTATCTATCCTCTCTTTCACTACCAGAGTCCCTTTATCCACATTCAGACCGATGTACTCACGACTGTCCTCCGTAAAGATCCGCGCTCGACCAGATTTCAGCCTCTTAACATCCAAACCGAGATCCTGAACGATATTTCCCACAAGCGAGCCCTTTGTCATCTCCTCTGGAATAGAATAACGGACCTGCCCGCGCGCAACGGCCATGACAAAGGCGCACAGCACGAGATGCTGCATTAACCATGATGGAATCCGCGTCAAAGATGCGCCTCTTTGGGCGTAAAAATAACAAAGAACCGACATAATCCAAGTCTTCTGCTCCACTACAGAAGAGAAGACCAAGCACAAAATATTCAGGGAGATTGAAGTTAATACGAAAACACAGGGCAGAGAATTTCTCGATGCATCAGTGTCAAACAGAGATCGTCTGAATGAAAGAAATATTCTGCAGACTGTATGATGTCAGAAAGTGGAGGAGGATCTAAAAACGAATGATTAAAGCCTGAACATACTGACCAACAGCGTCACTTAGTGCATCAAAGAAATATTGCACTAAAAATGCTGTTAAAGAGCAATACAGAAAATTACATGAATTTGCGACCAAAGTAGTGTACTTTGCATTAACGCAGAATTTTGCTGAAATATGAATACAATTATGTTCTAAACCGAACATCGAATAATAGAAGGAAAGGAAAATAGTCAAAAGCAAAACATAAACTATATAGCCCCAGTAATGCAAGTACGATTCAATGAGACTCGCTCATGCGTGCACATATACGCACAACAAAAACATCTTAGCGCAACTAGGAAAAATAAAAAAAGACTGTCTGTATGCAATTTCCTATAAAATATATATTTTTTCTAAAGTTATGGTTTAGATATGAAAAGTGTGACAAATGAATAGTCTTGAAAATGCTATCGGTACAGTAAATTTCAACTACAGCTGCTTAAATTATAAATTATAAATCTAAAAAATAAAACACAAAAATTCAGTGCACAATAAAACTGATGAAGCTAGAAAGAGAATAAATAAATAAATAAATAAATAAATGGACACCAGAAAGTCATATTCATAACCATTCACACCAGCTCACCTGATCAAAAGAATACTCATTATTCAGTTTTCCTCTCTGCTTATGCGTAAGTGTCTGTGTTCCGCTGCTGTCCAGACTAATGATGCTCTCACTGCAAAAAGTCTGACGTATTTCAGATCACTCTTTCTGGAGTCAGTGGTTCTGCAAACCTCATAATTGTACACGTGCTGTAAAGATCCTGTGCCCCTACATCTGCGTAAAGAGGCAGATAATACGGAATAACTGGAAGATTCGCTCCAGATTTGTAAAACATCCGCTCGCGTCTCCATCTGTAGCAGTTGACTGACAGTATGGCAATGATAAACACGATAAAGAGAAACGAAACTACAGCTAAGGCCAAGACCAGATAGAAAGCCAGGCTGTCGTTGTAGTCCTTGTCGTGCGGAAAATCTAACCCGATCTCATGAATGTGCGTATCAATACCACGAGTTTATATTTCTATTTAGCTTACTATTTATACGCAGAAATTGACTTTGTCGTGCATAATATACACAATGGTTAGGAAGTATTAGGGGTGTGGGGTATGTGCGTATTATTTGTACGCCAAGACATTGCGTATTAAATAGCACGCAAAATAGAAACCGAAAAACGTGCTATTGATACGCATTTTCATGAGACCGGGCTCGGAAAATCAGCCCTTAAGTAATACAGGTACGATTTATTGTGACTCATTGCGCGCGAACAAAAGCACACACAAACTCTTACCTGACTGAGTGCAACTGGAAAAATAAACTAATAATAATAATAATAAGAAGAAGAAGAAGAAGAAGAAGAAGAAGAAGAAGAAGAAGAAGAAGAAGACGGTGTCTGTATCCAATTTTCTATAAAACATCGAAAGGTTATGGTTTTGTCCTAAGGTGTGAAAATGTATAGTCAACAAAATGCTATCGGGAAATATCAACTACAGCTGCTATTTCTTTAATTACAAATCTAAAAATCTAAATTAAGCACAGCGCACAACCATAAAACTGATTAAGCCAGATAGAGAATAAATAAATAAATAAATAGACACCAGCAAGTCATATTCATACCCATTCACTCGAGCTCACCTGATCAAAAGAATCGTCATTATTCAGTTTTCCTCTTTGCGCATGCGTGAGTGTCTGTGTCCCGCTGCTGTCCAGACTAATGATGCTCTCACTGCAAGATCTGGCGTATTTCAGATCACTCTTTCTGGAGTCAGTGGTTCTGCAAACCTCATAATTGTACACGTGCTGCAAAGTTCCTGTGCCCCCTACGTCTGCGTAAAGAGGCGGATAATACGGAATAACTGGAAGATTCGCTCCAGATTTGTAAAACATCCGCTCGCGTCTCCGCCGAACGAGGCACTATTTCAGCCACCACAGAAGCGCCTGACTGGACCGGATACAGAACCTGAGGCGCGTTGTCGTTCTGGTCCTGAATCATTATTTTCACGCTCACGTTGCTGCTGAGAGGAGGGGAGCCTCCGTCCTGCGCTTTTACGCGAATGTTAAATTCTTTTGTTTGCTCATAATCAAATGACCGAACAGCAATAATCTCTCCGCTCTCTGCACTTACTGAAATAAACGTCGAAGCAGAGACGCCATTCACAAGAAAATCCTCTAGAAAATATGAAATACGCGCATTATTGCTAGCGTCTTTGTCATGCGCTTTAACAGATAATACAGAGACTCCGGGCGAATTATTTTCCATCACATATGCGGTGTATGACTGACGCTGAAACACAGGGGTGTTGTCATTGACATCAGAGAGTTTCAGAATCAATGTTTTATTAGTAGTGAATGAAGGCGAGCCCTCATCAATGGCTGTTATTGTAATATTATATTCAGATATTTTTTCACGGTCTAAAAGCTGATCAGTGATCAGACTGTAGAAATTTGAGGATGATTGTCTGATTCGGAATGGTAAACTAGGATTAATGAAACATCTAACCTGTCCATTTTTTCCCGAATCTAAATCTTTGACATTCAGCATCGCTATCACAGTCTCAGGAGCTGAATTTTCTGGCAAAGGGTTTGAGAAAGATATTACATTAATTACAGGGGCATTGTCATTAACGTCTGTAATTTCCACCATCACTTTAGCAGTATCTGTTAAACCCCCATTGTCTGTCGCCACCACATTTAATTCGTATTTCTTGGATTTCTCAAAGTCTAGAGGGGCAATAACTGTAATATCACCATTAGTGGACTCAATACTGAAACTATTTAATATGCTTTTACTGATTTGTGAGAATGAATAGGACATGTGTTTATTTGTTCCTTGATCTGCGTCAGTTGCACTAATCTTTGAGACTAATGAACCCATTGGCGCATTTTCAGCGACAAGTGCTGTATACACAGACTGACTAAAAACAGGAGCGTTGTCATTTGCATCTAAGACAATAACGTTTATTTTCACTGTACCTGTTTTTTGAGGAGTTCCTCCATCAAACGCGGTTAAAATTAGATTATACTCCTCCTGTTTTTCTCTGTCCAATGGTGTCTGCAAGACCATTTCTACGTATTTAGTACCGTCAGTGTGAGACAACGTTTTGAGCACAAAATGGTCGTTTGGATCCAATGTATATGTCTGAAGTGAATTTAAACCTACATCTGGATCATTAGCGCTATCAATAGAGTATCGAGCCCCAGATAAAGCTGATTCGCTTATTTGAAAAATTATCTCTTTGTTCATGAAAGAAGGAGCATGATCATTAATGTCTAGTATTTCTACATCAATCCAATACAGCTCCAATGGATTTTCTAGAATAATCTGAAAATGCAAGGAGCAGGGAGACACTTGGGCGCACAGCTCCTCTCTATCTATTCTCTCTTTCACTACCAGAGTCCCTTTATCCACATTCAGACCGATGTACTCACGACTGTCCTCCGTAAAGATCCGCGCTCGACCAGATTTCTGCCTCTTACCATCCAAACCGAGATCCTGAATGATATTTCCCACAAGCGAGCCCTTCATCATCTCTTCTGGAATAGAATAACGGACCTGCCCGCGCGCAACGGCCATGACAAAGACACACAGCACGAGATGCTGCATTAGCCATGATGAAATCCGCGTCGAAGATGCGCCTCTTTGGCCGTAAAAACAACAAAGAACCGACATAATCAAAGTCTTCTATTCCACTACAGAAGAAAATACCAAGAACAAATTATTCAGAGAGATTAAAAAATAGTTCATCCGAAAACACCAAGCAGCGAATGTATCGATGCTTTAGTGTAAAGAGTAGACCGTCTAAATGAAAGAGATTCTGCAGAATATGATGTCAGAAAGAGGAGGATCTAAAAACGAATGTTAAAAGCAAGAACATGCTTAATCAACAGCGGCACTTAGTGCACCAAAGAAATATTACACTAAAAATGCTGTTTCTTTCGGAACATGCTTCTCAACTTCTTGTTCAAGCTCTTGTTCTGTCCAGGCTGGACTATTGCAATGCTCTCTTGGCAGGTCTTTCAGCCAGTTCTATCAAACCTTTACAATTAATCCAGAACGCAGCAGCAAGATTCATTTTTAATGAGCTGAAAATAATACATGTCACACCTCTGTTTATCAATTTGCACTGGCTACCAATAGCTGCTCGCATAAAATTCAAGGCATTGATGTTTGCCTACAAAACCACCACTGGCTCTGCACCCCTTTACCTAAATTCATTAATTCAGAATTATGTGCCTCTAGAAGCTTGCGTTCTGCAAGTGAACGCCGCATTATAGTGCCATCCCAAAGAGGCACAAAATCACTTTCAAGGTCTTTTAACTGTTCCTCCTGGTGGAATGACCTGCCCAACTCAATCCGAGCAGCTGAGTCCTTAGCCATCTTCAAGAATCGGCTAAAAAACATCACTTCCATCTTTATTTGACCCTCTAACTCTAGCACTCTCTATTCTAATTGTATTCTTTAAAAAAAACGTGCCCCTTTTAGATTGCACTCTATTCATTTACTAACTGCTTGTTTTCTTTAAAAAAACACCTTCTCTAATCTTTTTGTATTCTATTTATTTGCTTTCTTTGTATTTATTATACAATTAACAAAAGCAAAAAAGGCCTCTAACACTAGCTTGCTCTATTCGTTTTCTATTATATCTGTTTTCTTTTTATTTATTATATAATAATAAAAAAAAAACCTTGCTACGTGTTCTGCGTTAAGCTAACTGAGACTTGTTATAGCACTTACATATCATTGCTCTTTTGTTGATTTTGATTGCTTCCATTGTCTTCATTTGTAAGTCGCTTTGGATAAAAGCGTCTGCTAAATGACTAAATGTAAACGTTAAAGAGCAATATAGAAAATGGCACGAATTGCGATCAAAGTAGTATATACTTTACATTAACGCAGAATCTTGCTAAAATATTAATACAATTATGTTTTGAACTGAACATCTAAAAATAGAAGGAAAGGAAAATAGTCAAAATCTAAATATAAACTATAATGCCACCCTTGTAATACAAGTACGATTCAGTGAGACTTGGTCATGCGCGCACACATATGCACAATAAAAACCTCTTAGCACAACTTGGGAGAAAAAGAGACTGTGTCTGCATGCCATTTCCTATCAAATATTTAAAAGTTATGATTTTGATATGGAAAAATTGTGAAAAATGTATAGTCACCAAAAATGCAATCGGTACAGTAAATTTCAACTAAAGCTGCTACCTTTTTAAACTTAGAAATAATAATAAAAAATAAAACAAAAATACAGTGCACAATATAAATGATAAAACCAGAAAAATAAATAAATAGATGATAAATAGATAGATAGATAGATAGATAGATAGATAGATAGATAGATAGATAGATAGATAGATAGATAGATAGATAGATAGATAGATAGATAGATAGACAGACACCAGCAAGTCATATTCATACCCATTCACACCAGCTCACCGGATCAAAAGAATCCTCATTATTCAGCTGTCCTCTTTGCGCATGCGTGAGTGTCTGTGTTAGATAGATAGATAGATAGATAGATAGATAGATAGATAGATAGATAGATAGATAGATAGATAGATAGATAGATAGATAGATAGATAGACAGACACCAGCAAGTCATATTCATACCCATTCACACCAGCTCACCGGATCAAAAGAATCCTCATTATTCAGCTGTCCTCTTTGCGCATGCGTGAGTGTCTGTGTTCCGCTGCTGTCCAGACTAATGATGCTCTCACTGCAAGGTCTGCCATATTTCAGATCACTCTTTCTGGAGTCAGTGGTTCTGCAAACCTCATAATTGTACACGTGCTGTAAAGTTCCTGTGCCCCCTACATCTGCGTAAAGAGGCGGATAATACGGAATAACTGGAAGATTCGCTCCAGATTTGTAAAACATCCGCTCGCGTCTCCATCTGTAGCATTTGACTGACAGTATGGCAATGATAGACACGATAAAGAGAAACGAAACTACAGCCAAGGCCAAGACCAGATAGAAAGTCAGGTTGTCGTTGTAGTCCTTGTCGTGCGGAGAGTCAGTGAACTCCGAGAGCACTTCAGGGAAGCTGTCCGCCACCGCCACGTTAACATTGACTGTAGCTGATCGAGAGGGCTTCCCGTTGTCCTCCACTACAACAGTGAGTCTTTGTTTCACAGCATCTTTATCTGTCACTTGGCGTACCCACTATCAGCACTAACGGACACTAAAGAGGAGACCGGCACTCCGTTAATCGATGTGTCATCCAGTATGTAAGATACACGGGCATTCTGGTTAAAATCTGCGTCTCTGGCTCTGACTGTGAATATGGAAAGACCCGGTGTGTTGTTTTCTTGAACAGAGGCCTCATATGAGCTCTTGTCAAAGACAGGCGCGTTATCATTCACATCTGATATCTGTAAGGAGAGAGTGACGCTGCTGGAGAGAGAGGGCACACCCTCATCCGTGCACGTCACACTGATGTTATACTCAGACTCGCGCTCTCGGTCTAAATCACCATCTGTGACTAAACTGAAGAAATTGGCATTCGTCGACCTCAAGGTAAAAGGAATGTTCTCATTAACTGAACACTGAACTTTCCCATTTTCTCCCGAATCAAGATCCTGAACATTTATCATTGTAACCACCGTCTCAGACGCTGGATTTTCAGCGATCACGTTTATTTTGGACATAATATTGATCACTGGCTTATTATCATTGATATCAATTACATCAACTATGATTTTACACGAATCAGTCAGACCACCATGATCACCCGCTTGAACGCTTATCTCATAATTGCGAGCATTTTCAAAGTCTATTACTCCGACCACTGTAACTTGACCAGTATCTTGATTTATGCCAAATAACTGTGGATCATCATCGTGCATGTTTGCAATAGAATACTCTATTTTACTATTTATTCCCTCGTCGGGGTCAGTTGCACTCACTGTTGACACCACAGTGTCTTTTGGCGCATTCTCTGTGACAGTCGCTTTATAAACTGACTGTAGGAAAACAGGAGCATTGTCGTTTACGTCTAAAACTGTAATGTGGATCTCTATACTGCCAGACAACTGAGGATCTCCCCCATCAATGGCTGTGAGCACTAATTTTATATCATGCTGTTTTTCACGATCTAAAGGCTTTTTTAGAACCATTTCGACATTTTTTCCGTCTCCTGGTTGATTTTTAAATTTAAGATTAAAATTATCAGTAGGTTTTAGCATATAGCTTTGAAGGCCGTTGATTCCCACATCGAGATCTATAGCAGGCTCTAACATAAATTTAGATCCTAAAACAGCTGCTTCGCTAATTCTAAAAACAATCATACTCTTTTTAAAACTAGGAGTGTTGTCATTAATATCTATTATTTCAATTGTAACGCTAAAAAATTCCATTGGGTTTTCAAGAATAATCTGTAAATGTAGTGCGCAAGGCGTTGTCTGTCCGCATAGCGCCTCTCGGTCTATTCTCTCTTTGATGAGGAGGACTCCTCTTTCTTTATTCAGCTCGATGTATTCAGCGCTGTCTCCTGTCTAAATACGCGCTTTCTCCGATTTCAGTCTCTTTAAATCTAAACCCAAATCCTGCACTATGTTTCCGACTAAAGAACCTTTCGCCATTTCCTCAGGAATGGAGTAACTGACCTGCCCGAGAGCCGAACTGAGAGAGAGAAACCAAATAGACAGCAGTACTTGCCGCTCCATTGTTCTGTCCGACATTTTACAGAAGACCACGGATGGAAGATTCAAGCAGAAAAAAAAAAATCCAAAAAGCTGGAGGAAATCATGTATAAATCCAAAGTGACGAGAGCTAACAAAAATGTCTGTAAGTCAATGAAAAGGATACTAAATACAGTATCTTCGTGATTTGTCTTCTCTCTTCTTTTCAGACTGTGCTCTCAGCTTCTGTCTCTCTCTAATAATATGGAGATGACGGGGGTGGAATTGCAGCAGATCTGCTCTTTAAACTCACATATTGACCAACAGCGGCACTAAGAGTTCAGTCTGATGAACTACAGAACATTTAAAATGAATAAACCTTTATCTGTGTCAGACACGTCTAATAAAAGCAGTGTACTGAACAAAGTAGTATAAAACTAGCAAATGTCCATTATAATACGAACATCTAAATGATTGTATTAGTTTGTGTAAATGAGATTTAAAGAAAAAAACTAAAACAAATACATTTATCGTTCCCTCAGTGTTTTGATCAAGCCCTATCCGCGTGTCCATTGATCAGAGAGACGGATACATATTTAAAATACAATTAAACACACACCAAGTATCTGAAAACGAATTAAAGTTTGTGTCGTTTAACTGTGATCAGAAGGATAGACAGACAAACTTCAGAAAAAAAAAACTAACTAAAAAACATGGTCTCCTCTAAAAAGATGCATCAGAATACATGAGGAAAATGACCGCTTTTCTGCATTTCAGGACCATGGTCAGCGAAGCTGAAGTTTCTCACTAAATGACAGACAAGTATAACAAGTCGTGCAGAAAAAAAGTTAGTCAAATAATAATTGAAAATGCCACCGCATGTTAAATCGCTAGTCTATATATCAGTGACAATGTTCCATATTCCCTCGGACTTAAAATTAATAAAATAAACTAATTAAAAAAACGAATATATATTAAAATAAATATATAAATAAAGGTCTGCTTGACGCATAACATTTTTATTTTTTTATTTTTTTGGCTGTACAAAAAAGAGATACTAATAAAAATAGAGAATAATAATTTGAGTAATAGAAATGCAGAAAATAGACAACTATAAAAACATAATATAAGATCAAAATACACCATTATTTACTTGTCAACTTCTTAAAATTACATAAACGATTTATTTCAGAAAACTAATCAGCGATACTGTCAACAGCTAAAGCAAAAATGATTAATTATGAGAAACAACGTCTTAAAATATAAATACAAATTAGCTGTAAATATATTTCTCACCTGATCGTCACAATCGTCAAAGTTCAGTCTCTCCCTTTGCGCATGCGTGAGTGTCTGTGTTCCGCTGCTGTCCAGACTAATGATGCTCTCACTACAAGGTCTGATGTATTTCAGATCACTCTTTCTGGAGTCAGTGGTTCTAAAGACAGGCGCGTTATCATTCACATCTGATATCTGTAAGGAGAGAGTGACGCTGCTGGAGAGAGAGGGCACGCCCTCATCCGTGCACGTCACACTGATGTTATACTCAGACTCGCGCTCTCGGTCTAAATCACCATCTGTGACTAAACTGAAGAATTTGTTGTTTGTTGACTTCAGCTTAAAAGGTATATTATCATTAATGGAGCACTGAACCTTTCCATTTTCACCAGAATCTGAGTCTTGAACATTCAGCATAGTCACAGCGGTGCCTGGTTTTGAATCCTCGGAAAGAGTGTTTGATTTTGACATTATATTAATTACTGGTTTGTTGTCATTCACATCAATTACATCAACAATGACTTTGCATGTGTCCGAGTGACGTCCGGGGTCTCTCGCCTGAACGTCAATTTGATAATGTTTAATTCGTTCATAGTCAGTATCGCCAGATAACCTTAACACTCCTTCATCTCTGTCTATTTCAAAGAGGTTAGTGGCGCCACCAGAAGATTTCGAAATATGATACTCTATTTTACCATTCTGTCCCTGGTCAGCATCTGATGCTTGAACTGCAGTTAAAATGGTACCCTTTGGAGAGTTTTCTGCAACGCTGGTCTTATAAACAGGCAGATAGCAAACTGGTGCGTTATCATTTGCGTCCTCAATTGTGATTACAATCGGAATTGTTCCAGACATTTGTGGGTTTCCCCCGTCCACAGCAGTAAGTAAAAGTGAAATGTGTTCTTGTTTTTCTCGATCTAAAGGTTTTTGTAGAATCATTTCAACATTTTTGCTACCATCCGGCATATCTTGAGTCTTTAGAATAAAATGATCGGCGGGATGTAAAAAATAACTCTGTACGCCGTTAAGGCCAACGTCATCATCCACGGCTGTCTCTAAAACAAATTTAGCTCCTGTCAGAGATGATTCACTTATATCAAATTTAATCTCTTTAACTGCAAAAACGGGAGAGTTGTCATTTACGTCTACAATCTCAATTGTTACACTATAAAACTCCATAGGATTTTCCAAGGTAATCTGTAAATGTAGCGCGCAAGGCGTTGTCTGTCCGCATAGCGCCTCTCGGTCTATTCTCTCTTTGATAAGGAGGACTCCTCTTTCTTTATTCAGCTCGATGTATTCAGCGATGTCTCCTGTATAAATACGCGCTTTACCCGATTTCAGTCTCTTTAAATCTAAACCCAAATCCTGCGCTATGTTTCCGACTAAAGAGCCTTTCGCCATTTCCTCAGGAATGGAGTAACTGACCTGCCCGAGAGCCGAGCTGAGAGAGAGAAACCAAATAAACAGCAGTACTTGCCGCTCCATTGTTCTGTCCGACATTTTACAGAAGACCACGGATTGAAGATTCAAGCAGAAAACAAATAAATCAATCCAATAAGCTGGAGGAAATGATGTATATATCCAAAGTGACAAGAACTAACAAAAGGGTATATAATTCCAGAAAAAAGGATTATAAATATAGTAAATCCTTGGTTGTCTTCTCTCTTCTTCTCAGACTGTGCTCTCAGCTTCTGTCTCTCTCTAATAATATGGAGATGATGGGGGTGGAACTGCAGCAGATCTGCTCTTTAAACTCACATATTGACCAACAGCGGCACTAAGAGTTCAGTCTGATGAACTACGGATAATTTAAAATGAATAAACCTTTATCTGTGTCAGACACGTTTAAGAAAAGCAATTTACTGAACAAAGTAGTATAAAACTAGCAAATGTTAATTATAATACGAACATCTAAGAGATAAAATGATTGTACGAGTTTGTGTAAATAAGATAAAAAAAAACCCTGAAACAAATACATTTATTTTTCCCTCAGTGTTTTGATCAAGCCCTATCCACGTGTCCATAGATCAGAGAGACAGGGAGACATATCTAAAATACAATTAAACACATACCAAGTATATGAAACCGAATTCAAGTTTGTGTCGTTTAACTGTGAACAGAATGATAGACAGACAAACTGCATGAAAAACAATACAAAACAAAAAAACACGGTCTGCTATAAAAAGATGCACCAGAATACACGAGGAAAATGACCGCCTCGTTGCATATCAGGACCATGGTCAGCGAAGCTGAAATTTCTCACTAAATGACAAAGACAAGCATAACAGTCGTGCAGAAAAAAGGAGTGCCTCGCTGGTTCAAGCGCGGTTCTCTTAGAAGTCGGGGTGTGTACGGCGTCGGTTGTGGCCGACAACAGCCCAAATAAACACCCCTTGTACATCAAAACGCCTCGTCCTTGTCTGAGAACGCAACAATATATTAAAATAAATATATAAATAAACTTCTATTTAACGAAGAATAGAAGAATGAAACTTCTATTTTCTATTTAATTATTTCTATTTTAAAAATAGAGAATAATAATTTGAGTAATAGAAATGCAGAAAATATACAACTATAAAAACTGGCCAAACTATAATATAAGATCAAAATACACCATTATTAATTGTCAACTTCTTAAATTTACAGAAATTAAATATAAAAAAAAACTAATCAGAAATTTTTTCTTATGAAAAACAATGTATTAAAATATCAATACAAATTAGCTGTAAAAATACTTCTCACCTGATCGTCACAATCGTCAAAGTTCAGTCTCTCCCTTTGCGCATGCGTGAGTGTCTGTGTTCCGCTGCTGTCCAGACTAATGATGCTCTCACTACAAGGTCTGATGTATTTCAGATCTTCTCAATAATTGAACAATCCATTTTACCGTTTTCTCCTGCATCTGGGTCTTGTGCGTTTATCACAGTTACAACAGTTCCAGAATTAGAGTTTTCTGATATTGTGGTTAATTTAGACATGATGTTGATCTGTGGTTTATTGTCATTTATATCAATCACATCCAGAAATATCTTACAAGAATCAGTCAGACCCCCGTCATCGCCCGCCTGTACATGAATTTGATAGTGGCGAGCTTTTTCGTAATCTATATTCCCTGTTACTCTCACCTCACCGTTTGTTTCGTTAATTTCAAACAACTCCGGAACATTGTCGAGGGTATTTGTAATAGCATATGCAATTTTGCCGTTAGATCCCTCATCCAAATCAGAAGCCCTCACCGTCGTCACAACTGTGCCTTTTAGAGCATTCTCGGTGATACTCGCTTTATATATTTCCTGCGTACAAACAGGCGCGTTGTCGTTGGCATCTAAAACAGTAATATGTATCTGCGCAGTACCGGACAATTGTGGATCACCTCCATCTATCGCTGTCAGAACCAGAGATAAATGCTCTTGCTTTTCACGATCAAGGGGCTTTTGAAGAACCATTTTTACCAGCTTACTACCGTCAGTTTGACTCTGTAATTTTAATGAAAAATGATCAGTGGGCGTTAATGTATAAATCTGAAGGCCGTTTATTTCTACGTCTAAATCCATCGCTCTCTCTAAAACAAAAACTGCCCCAGTCGCAGCTGACTCACTAATTCTGAATCTCATCTCAGTTCGTTTAAAAGATGGCGAATGGTCATTTACATCTGTAACTTCGACTGTAATGGAGTAAAACTCAATTGGATTTTCTAAAATAATCTGAAAATGTAGCGCGCAAGGCGTTGTCTGTCCGCATAGCGCCTCTCGGTCTATTCTCTCTTTGATGAGGAGGACTCCTCTTTCTTTATTCAGCTCGATGTATTCAGCGCTGTCTCCTGTATAAATACGCGCTTTACCCAATTTCAGTCTTTTTAAATCTAAACCCAAATCCTGCGCTATGTTTCCGACTAAAGAACCTTTCGCCATTTCCTCAGGAATGGAGTAACTGACCTGCCCGAGAGCCGAACTGAGAGAGAGAAACCAAATAAACAGCAGTACTTGCCGCGCCATTGTTCTGTCCGACATTTTGCAGAAGACCACGGATTGAAGATTCAAGCAGAAACCAAATAAATCAATCCAAGAAGCTGGAGGAAATTATGTATATATCCAAAGTGACAAGAACTAACAAAAGTGTATGACATTTCAGAAATAAGGATTATTAATACAGTATCTCCGTGATTTGTCTTCTCTCTCTTCCTCAGACTGTGCTCTCAGCTTCTGTCTCTCTAATAATATGGAGATGATGGGGGTGGAATTGCAGCAGATCTGCTCTTTAAACCCACATATTGACCAACAGCGGCACTACGAGTCCAGTCTGATGAACTACATAAATGACCAAATAGTTTTTTTTCTACACTACGAGACATGATTTCGAATTATTCCACGTTGTAAAAATAATTAAAATACAGCCGTTGCGATTGTCATTCAACATACAATTATCTAAAAATTAGTTATGATTGCAGGATTTCCTTCAAACAAATGATAAAAGTAACAAACAAACAAACAAATAAATAAATAAAGTGAATTAAATGAGATACTGAATTAGCACAAACGTAGATGTGCCCTTAACGGAATAGTAGAGAGAAACATGAAATATATAACTATGCACGAATGCGATCCTTTTCAATTCTAACATATTGGAAAGACGCAGAAGTTCTAAGATATGATCTAACGGACGGAGGTAAGGGGAAAAATAGGCCGAAGAATCAACCTTTCAGCACCACGGTCAGTTACTAAGATTGCATTTGAGTTTGCTTGTGTTCACAAGCATATTTGAAAGTTCCTCAAAACAGTCTTAAAAACACATTGTGGATTTAAAAACTATGAAATACGGATATAGCAGAAAAACCACTTAACAGAGTAGAAAGATTATTTCAGGCATTTCTGAAGACCGCAAATTGTCTAAAAGTAGCTACGCGAGATTCTCCAGATTATTTAAGAACCGATCAAATATTTGTACAATCATATAACTATTGTACATACACCTCACACACAATCTTGCATTAAAGCACTAAAGCTAAAACCAACGTAACAAAAATAAACACAGAAGCAGAAAACCCACATCAGATCCGTAACATTAACACGAAAATAAATAACAGGGAAATTCAAACTACAGCAAGGATGCCATCATGAAAACAACAGCCTGATTATGTGAGTTGCAACTTGCTTGTTATTGTATGTAAAACTGGAAACACTTAAGATGCATGTATGAACGGTTTGAATGCTTTTGCAGTAAAAAAAAATGTTGTAAACTGCTACACAAACTGGAAATAAAAATTCTCACCTGATCATCAAATTCTTCATTGATCAGTTTTCCTCTTTGCGCATGCATGAGTGTCTGTGTTCCGCTGCTGTCCAGACTAATGATGCTCTCACTGCAAGGTCTGATGTATTTCAGATCACTCTTTCTGGAGTCAGTGGTTCTGCAAACCTCATAATTGTACACGTGCTGTAAAGTTCCTGTGCCCCCTACGTCTGCGTAAAGAGGCGGATAATATGGAATAACTGGAAGATTCGCTCCAGATTTGTAAAACATCCGCTCGCGTCTCCATCTGTAGCATTTGACTGACAGTATGGCAATGATAGACACGATAAAGAGAAACGAAACTACAGCCAATGCCAAGACCAGATAGAAAGTCAGAGTGAAATCTTTGATCTGCTCGTAATCGAAAGATCGCAGTGCATGTATGACTCCACTATCAGCACTAACGGACACTAAAGAGGAGACCGGCACTCCGTTAACCGACGAGTCCTCCAATATGTAAGACACACGGGCATTCTGGTTAAAATCTGCGTCTCTGGCTCTGACTGTAAATATGGAAAGACCCGGTGTGTTGTTTTCTTGAACAGAGGCCTCATATGAGCTCTTGTCAAAGACAGGCGCGTTATCATTCACATCTGATATCTGTAAGGAGAGAGTGACGCTGCTGGAGAGAGAGGGCACGCCCTCATCCGTGCACGTCACACTGATGTTATACTCAGACTCGCGCTCTCGGTCTAAATCACCATCTGTGACTAAACTGAAGAAATTAGCATTTGTCGACTTCAAGGTAAAAGGAATGCTCCCAAGAATTGAACAATCAATTTTACCGTTTTCTCCTGCATCTGGGTCTTGTGCGTTTATCACAGTTACAACAGTTCCAAGATTAGAGTTTTCTGATATTGTGGTTAATTTAGACATGATGTTGATCTGTGGTTTATTGTCATTTATATCAATCACATCCAGAACGATCTTACAAGAATCAGTCAGACCCCCGTCATCGCCCGCCTGTACATGAATTTGATAGTGGCGAGCTTTTTCGTAATCTATATTCCCTGTTACTCTCACCTCACCGTTTGTTTCGTTAATTTCAAACAACTCCGGAACATTGTCGAGGGTATTTGTAATAGCATATGCAATTTTGCCGTTAGATCCCTCATCCAAATCAGAAGCCCTCACCGTCGTCACAACTGTGCCTTTTAGAGCATTCTCGGTGATACTCGCTTTATATATTTTATGCGTAAAAACAGGCGCATTATCGTTCACATCTAAAACCGTAATATGTATCTGCGCAGTACCAGACAATTGTGGATCGCCTCCATCTATCGCTGTCAGAACCAGAGATAAATGCTCTTGCTTTTCACGATCAAGAGGTTTCTGAAGAACCATTTCTACTAACTTACTACCGTCTGCCTGAGTCTGTAATTTTAATGAAAAGTTATCAGTGGGATTTAATATATAAGTCTGAAGGCCGTTTATTTCGACATCTAAGTCCATCGCTCTCTCTAAAACAAAAACTGCCCCAGTCGTAGCTGACTCACTAATTCTGAATATCATCTCAGCTCGTTTAAAAGATGGCGAATGGTCATTTATATCTGTAACTTCGACTGTAATGGAGTAAAACTCTATTGGATTTTCTAAAATAATCTGTAAATGTAGTGCGCAAGGCGTTGTCTGTCCGCATAGCGCCTCTCGGTCTATTCTCTCTTTGATAAGGAGGACTCCTCTTTCTTTATTCAGCTCGATGTATTCAGCGCTGTCTCCTGTATAAATACGCGCTTTACCCAATTTCAGTCTTTTTAAATCTAAACCCAAATCCTGCGCTATGTTCCCGACTAAAGAGCCTTTCGCCATTTCCTCAGGAATGGAGTAACTGACCTGCCCGAGAGCCGAACTGAGAGAAAGAAACCAAATAGACAGCAGTACTTGCCGCTCCATTGTTCTGTCCGACATTTTGCAGAGGACCATAGAGGGAATATTAAGGCAGATAACAAATCAATCCAAGAAGATGGAGGAAATGTATAAATCCAAAGTCACAAAAACTAAGAAAGTCTGTCATTCCAGAAGTATACTGAATAGAGTATCTCCGTGATTTGTCTTCTCTCTCTTCCTCAGAGTGTGCTCTCAGCTTCTGTCTCTCTCTAATAATATGGAGATGATGGGGGTGGAACTGCAGCAGATCTGCTCTTTAAAGTCACATATTGACCAACAGCGGCACTAAGAGTCCAGTCTCATGAACTACAAAAAAAAAATCAAAATAGATACATTTTTAGTTAAGTGTCAGACTTGTCTGAGAACATCAATTTGCTAAACAAAGTTCTTAAGTATAACACCAACAAATGTTTATCATTATACAAATATACTTCAAAAGAAAATGTGAGTTTTTGTAAATAAAGATTTAAGGTAAAAAAAGGAAACAAAATTCGTGTTGGCTCAAAGTTTTTTTTTATTTATTTATTTTTTTTTAGATCAGGTATCAACACTGATCAGACAAAGAGGGAGAAATAATTAAAATATAATTATCCACATAAATATCCAATCATAAATTAAATCCTGTCTAATTTAACTTTGAACAGGAGAAAAGTGCTGCGTTTCCCGGTAACGTTGTCTCTTAGCGCGCAACGAAGACTCTAAAGGTATACTTAATTAAGAATGTTTCAGGAAACACGTATTAATGATAAGGTAAGGTACAACTTAAGAACGACGTAGCGTTAAGTTGGTTTCGGGAAACGCAGCTCAGATCAATAAGCTGTTGAAAATCTCCAAAAGATCGTCTGCTATAAAGAGATACAGCTGAATAAATGAGGTAAATTTTCGCCGCAATTCAGGACCATGGACAAGGAAGCAAATGCAAACGTTGACTAGAGTTTCTCACTTCTTGACAAAAATAAGTTAAAGTACTGCGCAAAAACAAAAGAAAAAGAGTTGTAATTGTAAATAACCAACTGAATGACCCAGGATAATAATGTTAACGTGGAGACTGAATTACTAGACTTTATTTCAGCGTTCCATATACTGTAAGATTGATCTGAAAAAAAAAAGAATAAAAAGGAACTTCCACTTAATGTATGAAAGGGGGAAAAACCTGAAAATCTTTCTGAAACTGAAAAGTTAAGGAGTCGTTTTATTTTATGGCTGTACAGGAAAAGATGATATAATAACAACACACCACTAACAAGAGAGAAGACCTATTCGAAAAACAACAGCAAAAAAAAAAAGGCGAAAAAAAAGTCGAAACGTGAAAAAAAGTTCACTAAACTATAATAAAATACAACAGCATGTGATTGGTATCATATTCTGTTTAAATTATTTAAAAGTCAGTGTCTTAAAATTGCAGAAACTACTCATTTCAGAAGACCAGTGAAATTCAAGCAAATATGCGCAACGACGTTTTAAAAATCGCATAAACGAGCTGTAAAAAAAAACTATTCTCACCTTATCGTCACAATAATCAAAGTTCAGTCTCTCCCTTGCATGTATGAACGGTTTGAATGCTTTTGCAGTAAAAAAATGTTGTAAACTGCTACACAAACTGGAAATAAAAATGCTCATCTGATCATCAAATTCTTTATTGATTTCCTCTTTGCGCATGCGTGAGTGTCTGTGTCCCGCTGCTGTCCAGACTAATGATGCTCTCACTGCAAGGTCTGATGTATTTCAGATCACTCTTACTGGAGTCAGTGGCTCTGCAAACCTCATAATTGTACACGTGCTGTAAAGTTCCTGTGCCTGAAGGATGAAATAATCATATTTCTAAAGAACGGAAATGGTCTTAAAGTAGCAACACGAGATTCTTCAGATTATTTAAAAAACTGATAAAAGTATTTTTGAATCATATAACTATTGTACACCTCACAGTAAAATGATTACAAAAAAAAAGAAAAGAAAAATCACAACTATTACTTGATAAATTAATTTTTGTATATATTAAAGAAAGTGATTGAAAAATAAATAAATAA